GCCTGACCACTCTCTCAGGGAAAAAATTCTTCCTAATATCCAACTGAAACCTCCCCTGAGGCAGCTTGAGGCCATTTCCTCTCGTCCTATCATTAGTATTTTGGGAGAAGAGACCAACACCAGCCTCACTACAACCTCCTTTTAGGTAGTTGTAGAGAGCGATGAGGTATCCTCTCAGTCTTCTCTTCTTCAGACTAAACAACCCCAGTTCCCTGGGGATATTGAACAAGACTGTCCCAGAACTGATCCCTGAGGGACACCGCTCGGGACCGGTCACCAGCGGGATTTAACTCCATTGCCCACAACTCTCTGGGCTCGGCCATCCCGCCCGTTTCTAACCCAGCCAAGAGTCCACCTGCCTAGGCCGTGAGCCGCCAGCTTCTCCAGCAGGATGCTGTGGGGAACGGTGTCAAAGGCCTGACTGAAGTCCAGGTGGACAACAGCCACCGCCTCTCCCTCATCCACTAGATGGGTCACCTGCTCATAGAAGGAGATCAGGTGGGTCAGACAGGACCATCTTGGGACTGTCATGAGGTTCAAGGGATGTATATCCTTATCCTTCTATCTTCTTTAGAGCTGCATCAACAGCAGGAGTTGGTCCTTTTCTACCCATCCCCCAAACAGCTCATACAAAAAATTAGAAGATTGAAGTCTACTGAACAGCTACTTCTGATTTACTTCATTTTTCTGAATATGGGTCATGGAAATGTGATCACTGTCTTCTGCAATTCTTGCCACTCTCAGAGGGTTGTAGGATGTGCAGTATTTTTTCTTCTGATGAGAGTGAACAGGCAGCAATCGAAGGGTGTAGATGTGTGTGAGCTGACAAAGCTGGAATAAATTTTTCATCTGTCAGTGAGCTAGGCACAGATGGAGCCTTTCTCATTGTATGCTGCATCTGCAGCTCTGTGATCCTTCCTTGACTTTCATTATTAAATCTGCAGCATTTCAAGTGTTAAGCTACTGCAGATCCTGAGGAGTTACTTTTTATAGTAGAATTCAGGAAAACTCACTGTACAATAAAATGTCTATAAATAATTACCTAAATAACCAGGCATAATAAAAATAACAAGCTGGCAGTGATGGATACAGGCGTATTTGCACAGTGACATCTTCTGCTCTAGTATTTTTACTTCATGGTTTGACTGCAGCATGCTCCCCATGCCTTTGGAGGTGCTGATTTCTGTTGTGTGGTGATAAACAAGACGCATTGGCCAAAGGGAGGTCCCCTTGACAGTGCTGTGGTGAGTGTACTTCACAGTCTTGGCTGTTAGGGCTGTCAGATAGCTTAGCTCATAGGAGGTGTGAATGGTGTGTTGGAAAGATGAATTTTGTCAGGTATTCTTACAAGGGTAGCTAACATCTCAGAAGGGATAGTTTACAAGCACTTGCAGGGTTACCCCAATTGTTTTGTTTCATAATTATAATTACATTTATTCATGGATGAAGCTGTGATTTCTGTCTGGAACTGCAAAGTTGATGTCTGATAGCCATTGTGAAAAAAAACCCCACCACCCTCTTGTAGAACCACCTCTGTTTTCTGTGGAGAATGTAGTCTTAAGTCTTTACAGTCCCAATGATACTGTGAATGCATGTGTACTTCTGTGTGACCAGAGAGTCACAAAAAAACAAACTCTTGGTTTTTCTTTTAAATTAAGCCTCGGAGTGCTACGCTTTAGAGTGCATGTGATTTGCCATGCTTTCAAGAAAAGAAGAGGAAGACAGAGTTGAGTCCGCTGACTAAATTCTGTTTATGTGTTTGCTAATCAATAGGACAGGCATTTTTATGTTATAGAAAAAGACTTCAATTTAGTAGTCAAGACTATTCATCTTAAATTTGTAGAATTGTGTTTTGGTGGGAAGAGCATATGCATACATGCCCTAGTTTTCTTTATAGAGTTCAGAATCTTTCTAATAATCAGTAAATTCACTTCATTGCTATTAATATTAATTGTGTGTGTGTGTGTGTTGGGTGATCTTGAGAATATATTGACATGCTAGTGGTGCCTCTGGCACATTGCATACTAAAACACAGGGAAATTACTGATCAGTTTATTCTTTTCTAAGACTATCTGCTTCAGATTTGATACCCTTTAAATAGTTTAAGATAAAATTAAGTGCTGCTAATAATAGTTCCATCTTTAACTTATCACATTTAAATTTTCCTTGTGGCTTTATTGTTTGGTGAGGCTTTTATGTTTGTATAGCATCACTATTGCTAAAATTTCTGCTTTCTTTCTACTTCTATTCATGGCTCAGCTTTGTCTCTTTATGCTTTCTGCTACATCTAGCAAGAGGTTCCTTTTAAATTTCCAGTCTGCTTGATCACTTTTAGAAAGTGAGTCAGGGTCCCCAGTGAATGATAAACTGCTTGTGGTGAATTATATTTATTCCTTAACTGAGAGATAACTAGCATATTTAGTAACTCTTCTTTTTAATCTGATGTGAGATGCAAAAGTTCTCTAGACACTTTTTTGAGGTTTTGCATAATACACTGGGAAAAGAGATCTTAAGATGACAATCAGCCCTTGCATCCTGGATGAAACTTGCATTTTGATGCAGTTACATGTGAAGTTGTTAGTTTCTGGTGAAATTCCTAAACTTTACAAAACCAATTTGTAGACAATTGTAAACTCAGCATCTTGAAATGCATGCGTATAGAAGGTAAAATGTGTGGTATGGTGTTAGCTATTGAAAATTAACAATGCACATGCTAATGGTAACCCCATTTGACAAAATAATTGCCTTCTGCATTTGACTTAATGAAGCTTCACTGTTTAAAAACCTCATTTATTCTGTTACACCATCTATGTACAGAGATCCTAGTTGCTATCATCTAAGAAGAAATAGGTAAAGATTATTGTTCATTAATCATAAAATTATTCTTTGAGAGTAAAAAGATAATTAAGGGGTTTATAGCTAAATGATTAACAATATAAAGTGAAAGATAATTTTAGTTTATTAAAAATTTGCATTGGATATGACAAGTAAAATCCACAGAAGATAGAAAACAATGAAGTGAGACAGTGAGCACAGGAACTTCTTTGATGTATTTATCCTAAATAAAGCTGCTTAATATTTATTCCAGATTTTTAAAAATCCTTACCTGAAAGCTAACATACCTGTTTTCCCCTCGTATTAATCTCCACACATGGTGAAAACTGCTGCCTTACTTTGGCATTTTGCTCCCTTTGCCCTGCCAAAAACCTTAGCAAAACTTGAGGGTTACAGGTTTCTTTGAGGGAGTACTTGGGTCTGGTACCCTTACTTCAGGAAGTTATTCTAACTTGAGACATCAGCAGCCTTGGTACACACTTGCAGGCTGCATGCTGGTAGCCCTAGACCTGTGGTGCTGTAAAGTTGGCTGTCATAGAGACATGTCATGAAGGTGCAGGAACAATTAACATTCAGGAGTCTTTCAAGACTAGTTTTCTAAAATCCTCTGTTCTCCCACCCAAAGTTAAGGTGCTCAAACATTTACCATCACCTTATCATCATCCTTTCCTTCCTTTTGCCTTCTCCTATTCCGTTGCTGCTCCTGTTATCCAACGTTTTAGAAAAGTCCTGCACAATGCAGCTATGCTGTGAGTTCAAGGAAACGTATCAAAATATACCAGGATGTTATTAGTAATAAAATTTCAGATTGTTCAAGTGCAGAATCCTTTTAATATATTTCAGGGCTCAAAAGATGATATGTATGAATTGTTGATATGTATCAGCTGCCTCTGGGTTGTAGGCAGAAAGGGTTCCCAAGTGTCTGGGAGCTGCTGGAATGAGCATTTCCGTGCAGTGGTTAAGTGGCATAAGGTCAAGACCTGCCCCTGTGGTTCAGCTGAGTGAGCACACAGGTGACTGCTGCTGATTTAACTGGTAGGAATGAGACCTCAGGGCTGGTCCTGATTTTGCACAGACTGGAACATGATGATGGTGGTTGTGTATGAGACATGGTGGAGTGCATGTGAGGAAGGGAGGCACGCAACTGAGCAGTCATGTGCTGGGGATGCTGAGGAGATGATGCTGGACCACAGTGATGTTGTGGAAGGTGTGAAGGAAGACTGCTGTATGCATTCATTGGCTATCAGGAAGTTGTGACCCACGGTGCTTAGGGTGACAGTGATTGTGTTGTGGCTTATAACTTGCCCAGAGTGAGCATGGGATCTGCTAGCTTGCTTCTGTCCTTAACTTGCAAAAAAAGTGGTACAGGAAAAAATGGTTCCATCCCATTTTGTTGGCTAGAAGGTGGTTAACTGGCTTGTTTCTCCATTGCTGCTTTCTGTAAGAGAAGAACTGTAGCAGTGATCTAGGTTGATGATTAAATTCATAAAAAAAACAGGTTTCTCTCACTGACGTCAGTGTAGGCAGGTAACTGTGTTATCCCCTGCTTTGGGGACTCTGCAAAGAGCCCCCTGAGTAACAGGAGATGACCTTCTGCAGAGTCGTGTAGATATGGTGCTTAGAGACGTAGTTTAGCAGTGGACTTGGTAGAGTTAGTGATTGGACTCTGATCTTAAAGGTCTTTTCCAACCTAAATGATTCTATGGTTCTATACTCTTATTTTTAAGGAGAAGGTTGTTAGGCAACATCATGTTAGTGTGGAGCCTGAACAATTCATCCTATACTTACAGGCTTATGAACAGCTTATAGCCATCTATCAAATCAGTTAAGCTGATTAATTCTTGTATGTGCAGTGCTTCTGGTCCAGAGCAGTGGTTGATAGTAACACACAGGAGAGAAGATTTACAGTACTAGATGGGAACTCTTACATAAGACATATCTCTTAATGCAAAGATCTATGGGATAAGTTAGAGCAGTGTTGATCCAAGTGTGAAGATGAATGTAGAGGAATGGATTTGTTCCAATTACCTCTAATGTGGTTCAGAATATTTTGGTGTGTTTCATTCCAGAGTATTTTTTTTTTTAATGACAAAGTTTCTTTTTTTCTGCTGCCTCCTCTGCTTGTGAAAAGAAGAAAAAAAATACCTCTTTATATTGTTTTACAGACCACTTTCTGATTCTGAACAGATCAACTTTTTAAAGAAAGCAAGACTATATATTCAGCAGCAAAAGTATGGTGAAGCGGTAAGTCTGTTCTTGATGGATGCCTTCGAGAAACTTTTTACAGGAACTTCTAATATATGTAAATATTTAGGTTTATTTAACTTGAACCTGGGAAATAGAACTTCCTCCTTCTGTATAGTGCACATCTCACTTGTTAACACCAAGTCCCATTGTAAGTCTCCAAAATTTTGCATTTTGACATCAGTTCTAATGAATAATACTGACTTGATATATTCTTAAACTATTTGCTACAATTCCATAGTATACTGACACACAGTGTATGGTTTTATTTTCCACTGCAGCAAAGAGTAAGTTAATTTGAGAGAAACACTGAGGAACGTAGTTCATGTTCACACTTCTTAGGCTGCTAGTTGCATGAAAGTCTTCTCCATCATAGGTCCTGCTTTGTTTCATTCTTTTATCTGACCCAGTTGTTCGTGTTTTTAGTTTCACATTTCAGTTTGCCAGAGGCTGGGAACCGTGTGTGGAATCATTCTGTGCTTCCCAGCTCTGGTGCTACTTTCCTAAGTGTTTGCTGCCACTCACTGTGCAACACAGTACTCGATGGGTGCAGTTCACCAGTGCTTGTACTCTGACATTCACAGAAATCATTTGGAGAGCTAAAGGATACAAAGAAGTCTTTTTTTTTAGCAGGTTTAGGTTGGTCACTGACTTTTGTGTTTAAGAAGTACATTTAAAAGTTGAGTATAAGATTACATTTAACCTGCCAGATGCATGGAAGAGTAATTCCATTATGTGTTAGGGTTCAACTCTTTTTCCCTAATATGTTTCTCAGAGTAGCGTATTACTATTTTATGCACAGGACAGTTAAATCTGTTTTATACTTTATGCCTTTTTATATACCTGATTGTAAATTGAAAATAGCTCATTTTAACTGAATTGATCTATTGTGCTGTGGGGAGCAGGTTTTGGTTTGGGTTCCCTAATACTCCTACTTGGCTGTCACATGTATACTTCTAGGATACACTTTATACATTTCAGCAGTAGAACTTGTGAGTTTTTACTGCTAGTTATATATTAACTTTACCCCGAGTTCATGTGAGTGCCCCATGTGTACAGGCTCACTTTTGATCACTAATATGTTGAGCTTCTGCCTGTGCCCTGCTTGTCCTCAGCTTCCTATCACAATGCAGAAAGGTTGGTGCATTACCAGTTGCTGGGGTACAGGTTTGTTTTGGTTTGGTTTTTTTTTTTTTTTTTGCTTCCTCAGCTCTGCAGCTCTTTCCATTGCAAATATGCATTCATAATTGTACCTTCAGGAATGATGTGATTTTGGCTCAGTCAGCATTTGCAGACTTGTGACCTCTGCAGTAGTTGACATATATTTTTCTGTTGATTGTTGCTGTTAAGTCCCAGCTAGATACCTGAACATATAAAGAAGCATCATCATATATGCTCATCTTCTTCTTATACTTCCTCACACATCTTTTAATCACCAGAGAAGCCTTTGTGACCACATATTACACAGCTGACCTCATCTCTGAGTAAATCACTGGAATCAGCACACCTCTGTGTAAGGAATGACACTCGTGGTGGGAAAAACTGCTCTCTTTATCATGGTGTCTCCCCAGTGGAGGTACTGAGTAAGGGGACCTCTGGTTACACTGGGTACAACCCTTCTTGTGTTCAAATGATTTGCAACCTGAGAGCTCCAACCAGCTGCTTTGTGAATGAAACTGAGACTCCAGTTCAGTTTCTGAATTCACCTCTGGTGCTTAGGCAAAGCTCTGCAGATGTCAGGTACTGCTGAAGTGGAGGACATCAAACGTCTCGGGAGGGTATTTCAGGCTGTGTTTCATCTGCATCCATAATCCTCCTTCTATATCAATGTTGTTCCTTCAGAAACACATGGCTGTATTTTTTTGGACATCATTTATGCTGGAATAAATATATTTATGATCATAGGAAGAACAAGTATCAAATAGGTGATGATCAATGTGTGCTATTTGTGTAGCTTTCACCATCTGATCACAGTTGGGGGCAGAGTGGGGGGAAAATGGTCACTGACTTTGGATCCAACAAAACTCTGTGAAGTACTGTGTACTCCAGCAGTTGGTGCTGGCCAGAACACTACACCTGAGCACACAGAGGACCCGTGCCAAGAGTGGCTCCAGTTGCTGTCAGTTAGGTCATTCTGTGGAATAGAGTTTGTGCTATTTTAAACTGTTGCTTATATGTTTTGTCTGCCTCTAGGTAGCTCTGTGCAAAACCCTGATAAACCTTGCTTTGGAAGGCCTGTCTTATTACCATACTTACGACAGATTGTTCCTGGGGCTATGTATTGCAATGGGTTTTGTGGGCTGGACGACTTACGTGATTTTGGTGATTATCAAGACCCATACCAATTTGACCAACACTGTCCAGACTATTAACAAGGTAGGTTAGAAGCGTGCTTATTTTTTTTTTCTTATCAGTTTTCAGCATTTTATGTACACTCAGTCACTCTGGAGGGGACAGACTGCATGCTTTCTACTTATTTTGACTACATGTGGAAACTGGCAAGCTCTAGAGTTTTTAGCTACTGTAATCCTGCACAGTGTTACTGTTTGGTCAGTTTATTCGAGTTGATATTCCTAAGCCATGTAAGTATGAGTATGCAATACTGTGCCTTCTCAGTTGCTTTCTCCCTACAGCTTTGCATTTTACTAGATGCTAACGAAAGTGTAAGCAAACATAGCAATTTAAAACTTTTAGAGGGTCTGCCTTTAACCAGAAGTTAATATTCAGCATTAATTTTAGTAAAGTCAGCACTCTGTAATAATACTTACTGGGAAAAATACACACTTAAGGCTTCCATTGAGATTTTTGTTCCTTACTGTAAGGCCAAAAAAAGATTAGCATGTAAATTGTTTTATTCCTGTCCTCTTTTGTAATGTGAAATTGGTTTTCAGAAGCTGTACAATCATGGTGTTTTTAAAATGTATAACCTATTTTAACAGAAAGATGAACTGTGGTTTCACAGATCCACTTGCTCTCTTGCTCTTTGTGATTTGCAAGGGTGCAACAGAAGATATCAAAGATGAAGGATGTTCTTTTTGATATTATTATGGTTTGATTTTTCTTAAAGTATAAAATTGTAGGAAATTAATTTACTTATGGTCATTCATCAGGAAAAGAAATACCTCAAAAACATGAACAGGCTAAAAGCTAGCATTTCACTAGAGAAAGATTAAAGCCTTGAGGGGAGGAAAAGAAAAAATCTCCCAAACTTCAAGAATTTCTTTCAGAATAAAGGAATTGTTTCATTTAGTAATGTATATGAGAATGAGCGCACTCACTTAGAATCTGTACTGCCTTCAACATATTACTCTTGAGAAAATTTCTATCATGCTATATTGAAGATTTTATTACTGGCTGAAATGAGATAGTCTTGGCCTTTAATGAAAATGATCAAACAAAATTGAAATGGAAAATATTCATAAGAGCTGTACTGCTTGATTTAGGTTTCCTTTCATCAAATAACTGAGAAGAAATAATCTAAGATGCATGTTACATTAGATATGAACAAAATAATTTCAATAAATAGAATTAGTTTTGAGCGTATTAGTAGCTACATAAGCAAAAACTTCACATTTTTAGTTGACATCAGGTTTTCGTTTGATATATTGATTTTACTTGTTGAAGACATTTTATGCTAGTGACACTAGCAGGAAAAAAAAAAAAAAAGGGTTTTTTAGTTCTTTGTCTATAGAAAGTTTTTTTCCTCAGTTTTAGTTAGAGGCCTTTTTCTCTGGAAGCTTTTTTAAAATTTCCTAAATACTTAGGGAGTCCCAGTCAGGTTAATGCTTTATATAGAGAAATTATTTGGTTTATAGTTAACATTTGAGTTACTTAAGGAATTTTGCCAAGAAACTAATTACCATTAACAAATAGTCTTCTGCAAAGCACAGCCTTGTAAAATCTGAAAGGGGCCTCTGAGTAATGAAACTGCATCACCTTCATTTTTCATTTGCTTCTTATGCTGCATATGAAAAGATTTTCCTTTTAAAGTAGTGTGTTGTTTCACTTAGTAAGAAGCCTAACCATTTCATCTATTTCTAAACATCCCCAGAAAATGCAAATCTGGTTTCCATTTTCAATGCATGACCAACTATGTGGGTCTCTATAATATTTGTCTCTTTATGTAGAATAAAATATTGATTGTATGTTTACTTATATAGTGATAATTTATACTGTGTGCCTATCATATCTATTTATATTCTTTCTGTCTCTGTGTCATCAAATGTCAAATTTAAAGCCAGTAAAATTACATTAGGTCAGCTTTCTATATGACATGTTATTAAAGTAAGAAAAAACATCTTAGCAGAAATTCTATTTTAAAAATCATTTCGAACTTGCACTTGCTGTCAGTTTAGACTTAAATCAAGGCAGTTGTATGTCAGTGGTGGGGTGGGAAACAAAAAGATAAAAAAATTTAATGCATCTGTGTGAACTGCTAAGTGAATGTATTCTCAGTGTATTCACAGTCATTACCTACAAATACACTAAAGAGAGCTCAGTCGTTAGAACTGCCCTTACTGCGTCAAGTTGCAGTGCATAAAGAGAAAACAGTTTGTTTAAAACTTGAACATAATCTTCCCTTACCAGTGATTCTTCTGATACCTGAATGTCCCTAGATAAGGAAGAGTAGTTCAATGACCAGGTAAAAGGCAGATGCAGCATGATTTTTTTCTTTTTCCTTTTTAAATGCTCCTTTTTGCACAAACAAGAGATTGCTGCTACCCAATGATTAAGGACTTGCCTTCCTGTCCAATATTAAAGATTTTTTTAAAATTTCTTCTTTATCTTTGATGTTCATCCTTACAGCTCTCCTAAGTCCAAGAACGTGTTTCTTTGAGTACATTATAAGGAAAATGATAGGGAGAATGTTATAATCTCATATCTTGATTAGAGTTGTTTTTTCAGAGAAGCCCAGAGCTGGCCTTTTAGGTTAGGATGAAATAATAGCAGTTCTAGTTATGCTTTTGGTGCCATGCAACTCCAGTCCTCAGTTTTATTTTGAAATTGTAATGTCTTTGAATAAGTCTGTCTCTCTTGTGTCAAGTTGGTTGCAAGCCACTTTCAGTAGCTGTCCCTAGATTCTGAAGAGTTGGAATTTCATCCAGTAGGAATTGAGAGGCGTGGCAGGGACGTTGGTTTAGATGCTCTCTAGGGTTCCTTCCAACCTAAGCCGTTCTATGATTCTATAAATTAATGCTTTATATTTTTATTTAATTAGTTCTCTTACAAATGTGTGAAGCAGGAGGAAACATGTGCTAATGGAATTTTCATTAAGCGTTTTGACCATAATGCCGTGAACTTGAACTGAAATGGTTGTTCTTCAAGACTGTTCATAATTTAAATGTAAGAGTTCTGTTTTCCAAGACCCTTAGCATCAATGACTTCCGATAGATTTCAAGTATCCATTGAACATATATAGCATTGCATACACTGGTCTTCCAGATTGTACAAGTGTCTTTGCCTGTGCAGATTTTACTGCAGGACCTTATGTAGAGGCATATTTAGAATTAGATCTTCAAACCCTATTGATTTTTTTTTTGTCTGTCTGGAAGCAGCGTCCAGAGTTTTGTACGTAGACACAAGGCAGCTTGAATGGCTGTGGTAAAATAACATTTGCTTTACTGTGTAACAAATAGATGGAAAATAGCATGTAGTTTAAAATATTTTATTGCTGTTTCAGGAACGTTTGTCCAACCATGTGTTTTTCAGGAATCTACTGTTCTCTTCTCTGGTTTTGCGATTGCTGGGGTGACAATAGCTTTTTTCCTGTTGATTCAAACATGTCCTTGGACATACTACATCTACTGTCTCCTGCCAGTACCAGTATGGTATGCAGTTGTGAGAGAGTAAGTACTCTTTTACAGTACTTTTTACAAAGAATGTTTTATAAAACCAGGTCTGTGCTTCCTTTTTTTGACAATTAAACTTTTCCCATAAGCTTGGGAGAAGAAGTTAGTTATAACTTTATTAAACTTCTTGAGATACTTCCTGAGACATTCCAGACTCCAGTTTATATTTCATTTGACTTACAGAGTAGCTTCCAAGCTGACTGATAGAGCTGCCAATTCTAAAAAATATCTTTTCTATTAACAAAAATAAATTGTCTTTCCAAAATGAAATGCTTTTACTACTCATGTAACTATAGCAAAAGAGTGCTAAAATATTGGACAAATTCTTACAGCAGCTGACTTCTACTGTATAATGAGACACGTTGTTCCTTTTCTTAAGTAATTTTTAAATACTCTGATCTTGCAAAGTGCCAAGTATGCTGAACTCCAACTGCTTTTGGAGAACATGTGCTAGTCATGCTGAGGATTGTGCACTGATATTGAAATAAACTTATCTTGTTTGCATCTCGTTTTATGCCAAAACTACTTGTCACCTTCTGATTTCTGTTACTTTCCTGATCACTGGAAATTCTGTAGATATCAACTCTGTATTACTCGGAGAAAATGATATCAGCTGCAGTTAGATAATGAGCTGCCTCGGAAAGCACTGGAAAAGCTAACAGGAGTTTTTTTTCTCTCTCTAAAGCTTCTCAATATTTCATCAATTATGTTGGACATTAAGCACTGCATAACCAAAAGTATTTATAAACTCAGTGTTGATTTGAATAAATAATCTGAAGCTTGTCCAGATATTGGTGAAGGTGTGCCAGAAATGGGAAGGGAAAAAAATGGAGGGGTTTATTGTAGATTTTATATCAAGTAAAACTGGGCAGAAGGAGATTCAGGCCCTCACCTATTCTGTTTCTAAACAGGAGCCAGGATCAGCAATAGCTGACACATTTCTTGTGTTCTGACCTCCTCTCCACCCTTTAAAGGTAAAATCTTATATTTTCTGTTTTTTAAAAATAATGACTGTCTTGTTCTGTCATTTTGAACAGACTTCCTATTATTCAAGACCTTGCTGCAAATCTCTTGTCACTTCATATCAATCAGTCTATAGGATTCCTCTTGGTCTGTGTACTGGGAATTGAAATACTAGTAAGTATTTTATCCATATATATCAACAGGATATCTCTTTGCTAGCGTTCTACCTCTTCAAGGAATGTTAAGTTTTATTCATGTGCTTGGGTTTCATTCTTTTGTTGGATTAATTTTTTTTTTTTTTAATTAGGTCTTCAGCTTTTTCTACCGCTCTACGCTTACTATTGGTCTTCTTGTCTTTGCTGGCTGGCCAGTGATCACACAGCTGTGGGTTCAAGCAAAGGTATGTATTGCTTTGCTCAAAAATGACTATCAGCTGTTAGCCATTTCAAATGCACTTAGGATGTTGGGACTGGTCTCTTTGGAATACTGCCTTAGATTCTTATTCGGTTGTGTTTTTACTCTAATCTCTGTCGTAGGCAGCATGTAGCAAGGCAAGGGAGTTTAATGTATCTGGATAGATCTCATACAAAATAAGTAATAAGACAGCATAAGAACTTCAGGGTAGCTAGAAGTTAGCTATCAGTTTTCTGTTGTTAATAATAACTAATTAATGCTTGACTTAAAATCATTTGAAATACACATAATTTATTGAATTGTCACAGTGACGTAAGTGTTGACATGCATGATTGGTGAAAGTGACACCAGTTAAGTAATATGATCATTTATTGAAACAAAAGTTTTGATAACTGAAAAATTCTTGTCAATTCTTGTCTGCAATCAGCTGCTCTGTATCATTCCTGAGAGGCAGCTTTCTGCAGTGTTTTTCCCACGAAAAATCTTCACTTTTGTAGATATGGGTGTGAAGTGGCACGACCTTTAATATAAGAGGCATTTCTTCCCTTTGTTTATTCTAACATCTTTCTTCCACAGTATAGCTAAAGCCTAGTGTTCTGGGGTAACATTACCATTTTATTTAAAATAAATTTAAAAGTGGAGTTAAATTGCTAAGTCTTGCTCTGCAAGAACTGTCAAGGTGGAGGCGTGTATTTGTTCATTTAGAACCTTTTTATTGTATTTAAGTAATTAAGTAACTTGTCTTCAGGCTGGGTATACACAGATGTTTTGTAGTACTGAATTTCCTTTCAGGAACATGAATCTGACTTGAGTTTACAAACCTTAAGTGATATCGCTCTTAATGTCTGTGTTTAGAGTAAAATAATCTATACATAAGATAGTTGTTTTTTTTTTCCTCCTAGCAAAGAATTTAGAGAACTACTTAAACAATTATTATGGTGGTTAAATTAAGTGGCATTCATATTTGAAGACTGGAAAATGTTACCATATCATGAGAGAACGGGTGATTAGTTAGCTGCTGTGAACTTAGAATGAGATTACTTTTATTCCATTCTTCAATACTGTTACTCATTAGCTTTCTGATGACTGCAGTGTGTGTGAAGACCACCGTTTGGGAAAGTGCTTTTGAGTCTAAACTTAGCTTTAATTCACATTGTCTTTGATAGGATTCTGAGGGCTGTGTAAATGAGATTCTTTCTGGTATTAAACCAAAGTGCTGTAATACCAATGACCCTGTGGCCTTTTTTCAGTGAATTTTGCTCTTGATAGATGCACTGGATTTTTGCCTGCTGGAGATGCTTATAGCCATTAGTAATTTGCTGAAATATTTTTTTTTCCTGATTAGACAATTGTCTGTCCACATGACCTAAAAAAAAAAATCCCATTTGTTTTTCTTCTAGACAACAGCGTTGATGTGGACTCTTCTGTGTGTGCTCCTGGCAGTATTTCCCCTAATGCCTGTTGTAGGAAGAGAACCAAACATTCCTCTCGTGTAAGAATCTAATGTTGTTCTTCAAAATTTTTATTTCCCTCTTTGATATTCAAAATTTAGGCTGGCTTTTGATATAAGTCAGGAACTGTATTATTGAAAGCTAGCTGAGACCGGTATTGAAATTGAGAATTTAAATAACGTGATTACAGAGACCTCAGTTATTCACTACTGTGGTTGAGAATAGACTTTTAATTCTTCTGTCATATCCATTTGCTCTTCTTCACATTATTCTGTAATCTCTTGTCAGGGGTAGCATTTATCACAATACAAAAATTTGCAGATTTTACATTAAAATAAAGGTCATCATTAAAGGAGGAGCTTCACTAGGGTGCAGACATGGTAAACACTGATATGTGAATAAGAATATTTATTCGAAGCAATTTACTTTGACAGCATCTTTCTGAATTCCTCCATCTGTCTTTGAATAATCTGTCTTTGAATAGGACACTGTACCTAATGAGATGTTCAGGGAAGTAGAAAAAATAGGATAGGCAGAGCTCTTTTCTTCCTCTGTGTCTCCTTTGTCTCTTTCTTCTTCCACTTTTGCTTTTCTGTTCTGCATTTTCCTTTTTGGTGTTGCTTGTCTGATTATCTTGTTGATTTGCCTTTTTTTTTTTTTTCCCCTACTGTGTCATTGTCACCTGTCCCTCTCCTTTTGTGAGGTACTTTTTCATCATACAAGCAGTCTTTCATATCTGACTGCCATCCAAGTGGTTGGCCTGAAGGTTTTAGGCTTGTGGTATCATTGTAGTTAGTGCAGAGAGATCCTTGAATTGACCTAGACTGCAGTGGCAGCTTCTGCTGTCTGGCAGAGGATACACTGTGCCCCATCAGAGCCCAAGTGCCTGATCCTCAGCAGAATACAAGATTTGAGCAATAATATATGATTGCCGTTAGAATTATGAGCCCAGATATTTCCAAAAGTATTGTCTTTCTGCCTTGATATTTTCACTGTGATTTAGACCTACTGAAAACTCTTCTTAGTCTTGATACTTGGGCACATTAGAAATATTCAGGACAGATTTTATTTGGCTGTATTACACAACCTCTCAGCTGTATATACACATGTACTTATTTCTTCTGGTCCAAACTGAGAGAGTTTTATTCTTTAGAACATCCGAGCACAGCTTAGAAATCAAAACGGAATTAAATTACCTTCAGATCTTCCCTAACACTACTTTACATTCACCTTACTCAGGCTGTACATCTTCCTATTTATTCTTTTAATGAAACATTATACCTGTGAAACAGTTTTCACCTGTCTGAATCTTGCCAAGGGAGTTCTGAAGCTGAAAAGGCTTGAAGCAACAATTAAAAATTTATGTCTGTGTGACACTTCAGAATATTTAAGATAAGGAGATGCTGGAAAAAAAGATACAGGAGGCAGAAATTTGAGTGCCAGTGAGAAAAAGGTGCACTTATTAAATCTGGTCTTGAGCACTGGCACTATATGTCATGTCAGGCCTTCTTCAGTACATTAATAACATTGTATGCTAGGAACAGGAAGCTCCTGACTCAGTCGTAAAAAGGAAGCACACAGAAGGTGAAAGCAGGATCAGGTGATCCAGGAGGAATGTAGAGATGCTGTCTGGATCTGCAGGATATGTTAGGAAAGCCAGAGCTCTCCTCGAGTTGAATCTGATGTGGGATGTAAAGTGGGACAAGGTGGTGTCCAGCAACAAAAGGAAAACCAGGGATAGTGTGGCCCTGCTGCTGCTTGGGCTGGGGACCTCGTGATAAAGGACATGGAAAATTCTGAGGCCTTCTTTTGCTTTCATCTTCTACTGCTCAACCTAGCAATCAGGAACCCCAGCTTTCAGCTTGCTGAGACCTAATCTCAGAACAAGGAAGGCATAACTTCAGTGGAAGAGGATCAGGTTAGAGAATGCTTAAGTAAATAGGACATACATGAGTCTGTGGGCCCTGATGGCATACACGCAGGGAGCTGGCCAATATTGGTGTAATAATCTTTGAACAGTTGTAGCAATAGCTGGTGGGAGAGGCTGCTGAGGACTGAAAGAAAACAGATGTTCTCTCTGCTGTCTTCAGGAAGGGCAAGACAGGATCCAGAGGAGTGCAGACTGCTCAGCCTCACCTCAACCTCTGGAGAAAGGTACTTGAGCAATCCTGAAAGCAGACCTTTCCTAAACATATGAAGGGACAAGAAGGACCTTGGGGGTAGTCAGCATGAATTTAGGAAGGGGAAATTATTCTTGACCAACCCAATAGTCTTCTAAGATGAGAAGACTGGCTTAGTGAGCCAGGGGAGAGCAATGAATGTTATTTTCATTTCAGTGAGGATTTTGGTGCTGTCTCCCATAACATCACAAATTCAAACACAATACAGAAATTGATGATGTCCAGGCTAGACAGTAGCCAGTGAGGTGGACTGGAAACAAGCTTAACTGTCGAGTTCAGAGGTTTTTAATCAGTGGCACAAAGTCCAGGTGGAGGCTAGTCAATAGTGACGTACAGAAGGTCTTGTTACTGGGGACAATACTGTTTTAACATCACCTAGATGATAGTACAGAATCACCCTCAACAAGTTTGTAGGTGATACAAAACTAGAAGGAGTGGTTTATGCAGCAGATGGATGTGCTGCCCTTCAAAGGGACCTCAAGAGGCTAGAGAAGTGGGCAGACAGGAAGCTCATGAAGCTCAAAGAAGGGAAATGCAAAGTCCTGCACTGAGCAGAGGTGATTTTGGTACACCAGAACAGGCTGCAACCAACTAGTTTGACTACAAGCCAGCAATGTAACTCTTGAAGGAAAGACCAGTGGTATCCCTGGTGTCACCAGGGTGATAAGGAAGGTGATTATTCCTCTCTGCTCAATCCTAATGAGACACATCTGAAAGCACTGTGTCCAGTTCTGGGCTCACTGTAGAGATGTGGACATACTGGACCAGGTCCAGAGAATGGCCCTTGAGAGGAATGAAGGATCAGAGCATCTGTCACAGGAGAGCAAGTGAAAACTGGGACTGCTTCCTCAGGAGAGACTGAGGGAGCTGGAACTGGTTGCTCTGGAGAAGGCTCAGGAGGTTTTTATCAAAATATATAAATACCTGTCTGGGGCAGAGGAGTGAAGAAGACAGATTGCCCTTGGTGTCCAGTGAAGACACAAGAAATGGACAAAAATTCAGATACAGGAAATTCCATTTAAACACAAGAGAAACAAGCTTTTTTTTTTTTTTTACACTGAGGGAGGTGAAGCACTGAAACAGGTTCACAGAGAGGTTGTGGAATCTCCATCAGTGGGAGTACTCAACAACCAGCTAGACATGGCCCTGAGCAGCCTGCTGCAGCTGACACTGCTTTGAGCGGGGAATTGACTATGCTGATGTCCAGAGATACCTTCCAACCTCCATTCAGTGCATGAATAGCCTGCTACTGTGTTCCTGTGTTGGTTAGATCGTTAAATGAACATGGCAGCTGAGGTATGCCTATATAACCTGATTTTACTTGATATGATGTATGTGTACATTGTTTTGTTATGTCTGAGAAAACATGAGCAGAGCAGTCAGAGAGACATTTTTGTCAGCAGTGTTTCAGTGGAGAAATGCCAAGGGACAAGTGGGAGTGAGGACTCTGTGGTTTGACTAATTCCATGTCAAGGTTGTGGTATGACAGAGAAATACATGCAGAAACTTCTCCTGCCTTTACTGGTTCTCTTCTTGCTTGATGACTGAAGGGAGCTGTTCGGAGGTGATATTAGTGTTGGTCTTTTAGTGACTCACGTCTGTTATTTTGAAACAGCATCGTAATTAGTGGATTTATTCAATAATGCCAAGCAGTACTTTTTTTGTTGTTGTTGTTTACATGAAGATCTTTCTGTTAGTCTTGCTGTTGCATTTAAACAAAGCTATGTATTTGATAGTAATGGTGGTGTAATTACCCTGTTAGATGACAAATCTGACAAACCTTGAAACCACTAACTTTAGATCACTGATCACTATTACTCTTTTGTTGAAAATATCATTTGGAGGTATTTAAAAGTAACTAAAAATAATGGATGATGGATCAGATGTGGCCAAAATGGAGTTGTTTTTTTTTTGCCACTGCCATGAAAAGACCATAACTGTATTTGCAGATGGCAAGCTTCTATAAAAAGAAACAAAACAAACAAACAAACAAAAACAACAACATGACCACCCCCTGCTGCAAAACTAAAACCCAACCAACCACTAAAAGAGAAATAAAAGCAAACCATAATCACAAAAACCAACACCACCAAAAAAAAGACCAAACCACCCAAAACCCCACTAAACAACAAACCTAGACCATGCTTGATTGTGGACTGTATTCTGTTTATTCTAAAGCTGGGTGTTGCAGTTTCCCTAACCTTACTGTAATGAATTGTTTCACCTTAGTAAAGAACACTTAATTTCCTGAACCTTTTGATGATATTTCCTGAGATTTTTCTGTTCTTTTGTTTATTTTTACAGAATAGCAGCTGGTTTGCTGACTCTTTTGATCTCATGCTTCTCATTGGCATCTCTTTGTAAAAGAGGAAATAAGTACAGAAATAATGAAGATCTGAAAGTGCATTTTTATCAGGTCAGTTGCTAATCCTCAGTCATTTTGAATGTTAGAAAGGCTTTACTTGCAAATTTTTACGTACTTTCTTGGTAATGTGTTCCTACCCAGGCCGCAATTTTCAAGAAGAAAATTATTATTCCTTAGAGTTTTGCCCTTGATTATGTCAAGAGGACTATGTGCTCATGGTAATACACTTTTTAAAATATCATAATGCTGTTCCCAAAAGCTCATCCTGTGCATATTTCTGTTTTGAGAGTTTGTCCTGCCTTCGGTCTGTCTGTAACTTCCAATGACCTTTGCAGGTGTTGCACATGCACACTGAGGACAGGCTTGCTGCTTCAGGGGGTTCTTTCTAGCTTTTGGCTGTTGAATAACAATGTTACACAATAATGGTTTTATTTCAGGACTAGGTTTAGTGGTTATGGCTTATATGGTGCAGCTTCTTACTGAGCTAAGCTGTGCATTTATTTTGTCAGTGATTTAGATATGGAACTCAAATTGGTTAAAAGGTGGGAAAAGAATAAGAAGTGCTTAAAATGCCTTTACCTGACTGTGCATACATGTATAATATGCTGGTGGTTTCTTTTAACTTTTCTAGCTTAACTGTGGAAAGAGGTGTATCAGTTCCTTTCATAAGCATTTGGGATAGGTATTTTCAGTGTATACTGAAATCCACTCAACAGTGCAACGTCAGCTCACCACACAACTGCTGCACCATCTCATGCAGTGTAGCATTGTGGAGAAGCTCACAGATGATGAAACATCTGTAGTTAAAAAGTAATGCCAGACTGTTCTGGAGCCAACTTTAGAGAATCAGGAAATTCACTCACAGAACCCTGAGATACTTAATTAGATGAAAATGATCTGCCTGCTTGTTCAGGGACAAACAGAGTCATTTTTCTCCAAAGAAAGATCTTTAGATGATTTATAAAGCGCCTCAAATTGCTCCTTATTCAGATGATATTTTATAATAGTGACATCTAATTACTAATGTATTATTTGATTTTTATTTCAAAAGCTTCCTTGGGAAAGGAAGACATGGGATCCACCATTCATGCTCTGGATAAGGAATTTGGAAGAGACATTATTCAGACTTAGAGTCAGAAAAGAACTCTACAGAGGCATTACCCCTTTCTGAATAAATAACTTCTTTTGAGGTTAGGTTGCATTTCATTGCTTTAAAATGTACAGGAATATGGAAGGAGAATGTTTGTCAGAAGACTGGTATTTCTAGGCAATGGAATTCACTTGAAGAGAAATTAATTTGCTACAGATCTTTCTTTGTGTGCCACGTTCTTGCAAGTGTTGCCTGAAGGGAAAATATGGAATCTCTTCCTAATACTCTTCATGATTTGTCTTGAGGATTCCCTTAGCCACTCTGCTAATATCTTTTATGGGTTTAGCTCTGAATAAAAGCCTTTAAATTACAAAATGGAGAAGGAATAGCTGTTGATGCTAGTTTTTATTGTTTTAGCAAAAAGCCTACTGATCTGGCCAAAGTTCTCTGATCAAGATCCCCCAACTCTTTTTGTTTTTCTTATACTTTTCCTGTTTGTTTTAGTAGTGTCTGTGTGCAAGAGCCCTCTTTTTTAAAAACATTTTTCATTTCACCTCACCTCAAATTTTTATTTGTGCTCATTTGGGTTGAGGTGCATTTTCATGCAAGAAATAAGATAATCTGTCCCAAAGGCTTAAGTAGTTCTTATGCCCGAGTAGTTCTTCGTAAGTTATTTTGGAATTGCATCTGAATAAAGGCACTTCTGGTTTTGGTTCTCTTCCTATTTCACTCAGAGGGAGAGAGGGGTTCAACATAGTCTAGGCTTTTTGTTTTACTTATGATATTTTTTTCTCTTCTGAAGACAACTTTTCTTCTTTCTTGTGCAAGTGAGCTTTGTTTTCCATCTGGGAATTAGCCTGTAGGGAAGATGTTGTGCCTGGTAAGGAACAAAGCTTGTTCCATTACATGAATTGCTCTCCTTTGGGTAAACAGAAACCGGAGTTGGCAGAGACTGTCAGAGTAGGCAGAAAACCTGCCAGTTAGTGTGTAGTCCTCCAGAGAAAAGAGCATTGCCTTTGATCCAGTCCTGAACTACGTATTTTTTTTGTTGATGTCTCTGTGAATGGGACAGAGGGTACTCCTTAGCAAATGGGTACAAACTACATACCTGTATGGATCTGAGAGGCCATTGCAGACTACTCCACTATTCCAGTCACTCATTTTTATACCTACACACTGTAGATTTCCAACTTGGGTATTAGCCTTAAAGAAAAAAGTCTCAGACAACCAACAGCATAATCAAAAAGATTTTTCAGCAAAAGGGTATAAATAAATTTTTCCAAGTGAAAGTGCAAGCTTGAGTAATTTCATATATTACACCTTGGTTACAAAAACTTCAGTTATGTTTAGACCTAATTTTCAGGTTTTGAGATATCCCAATGTTTGCTTGAGGCAGAAAATACAAATTACACCCTCACAGTATCTGAGAACTGCCAAGAGAACATGAGCTTCTTTTTGCCAGCATTTGCATGGATGAAGTCTGTTCTTTGGTGCACTACCAAAACCACTGCTCTTTCCACTGGCTGACAGCTTGAACTTCATGGGGCCAGGGTGGCCAGTTTAGTAATTTTCTCCTCTAAATGAGGAGGGGAAATAAACTGTAGGAATCTATAGGTGGAGCTAGGGGACAGGAGGAATGTTTGAAACCAGCCTGATAGAGCATGCAGCTGCTGATGCTGGTTCTCCTACCATTCTCTCTATGGGTTGTTACCGTGTTAGATGTTTATGAGAACTGTCTGCCAGAGCTGTTGGCAAAGGTGTTAGGACTGCAGATGTCATCCTTGGTTTCCTCTTCCTAGCTGTGACCTACAGATGAGCATTTCTCAGAGGCCAGATCTTACGGTGTTCAGTAATAGTCTCTGGACTTCAAAGAAGGTTGTGAAGGGGAAAAGAAGGCAGATTCTGAGCTGGAGACTTCAGTTTGCATCCCTTAAGTTTCTTCTGTGCTGTTCCACAGTTCTGGAGATGTTGGTGAAAGCTGAGAGCAGTTTGAAGATTACTTAAACTGCACACATAGGAGTCTCAAAAGCAGATGCTGAGCCCTTCCCTGGACACTGGCACCAATCTAGCAGCAGTACATTGGGTTTACTAATGTGCCACGGGTATCACAAGTTTTTCCAAGGCACAAGATATATTATGGGAGATGACACAAAGTGAGTGCAAACTGACTCCAGCAGTGGCTGGGGGATTACTAGGGTTTATGACACTGGAAGAAGTTTAAAAGATACATCAAAGGGGAGGGATCTGCCCTGAATACAGCAAAAGCATCCCAAATAAATATCAGAGGTCTAGAGGGGCCAATTCCCTGAGCTTTTGGAGGCTTAATGCTTTGACCTAGCTTATTGATGTCACACAGAAATACAAGTTACATGTTCTTGTGGCCTGAAATTAAATACAAACAGCAGATACTGTGCACATGAGAAACTGGGCCAAAGAAGGATGCTGACTCCTACATGTGGGCAGGTTCCACTAGGTATCACTACGTCTGGCAAGGGAATGGCAGCTATTCATATAGTAAAAAGTGATGGATGTGAGTGAGCACTGTGTAGTTGCTTTGCACTAAAAAAAAAAGCCACAACAGCAATTATGTCTTGTAATGCAGTTTTAAAACATGTGTTTGTAGAGTACTGTGCATGCTTGATTTACCTTTTAGAACTGCAGAGTTGTGAATAAATAGCAGTAATTGAAAACTTGGCTGAAGAATGTTCTTGGGTAATTGTCACTTTCAAAAGTAACTGACTCGTGGGGTAATTTTCCTAAGGTTTCTTGCACCTACTTGATGACTGAATGATCAGTCCTGAATTAATCAAGGGGGGAGAAAAAAGCCCTCTTCACCCTCACTGCTTCTCCAAGGCAGAAAGCTTTGCTTGAAGCATTTCAGGCAATTTTCATTTGAAGAGTCTACTAAGTTTTCAGCTTCTTTCTGTCTCTTTAAAATCCACCTCCAATCTTTTCTGCTGCTGCTGTTTGTTCTTACAGGAGCTGTGCTGCCCATGCAAAGCTCTTGCCTTAACCTATCCTTCCCCTTCACCCTGTATCTGATCTGCAGCAAAGCCAGAGGTTCTGCTAGTTCTTTGTGGTTGCTGATTTCGGACAACTGCTCCTTGAAAAACTGGGGGCATGTTTTCTGTGGTTGACATGAATGTTTAAGGTAGTTACTCTTGACAATAAAAAACATACCTTGTCAAATCAGTCATCCAGGAGACTCATTTAAAAATAGCACAAATAAGAATGTAAACCAAACAAACAACCCAACCTAGAAGGAAGTTTTGAAAAGCATACATTGTAAAAAGCTAGAAACACTCAACACTACCTATCAGAAGTCCTGTTCTTAAGTTGATCCAGATGAGATGCTTATGCAGCTTCAGAGCATGTTTTATGTATTCGGTATGAGATGGAGGAAGTTCATACATTCTGTGTTTCATTGATTTCTTCTTTCTAGATGTTGAGTATTGCACTTTCGACCTACGTTGTGAGCAGTACCCATGACAGTCTTAACAGCAAACAGGGATTGCCTGTATTGAATCAAATTATTAGCTGGGTTACTCTAGGTAAGAACACCTTCCCTCCAAAACTTGTATGCTGATAGTGGCGTTTGGGGTTGGGCAGGGGGATGTTGACGTTTGTTTTATTAATGTCTTATTTTTGCACATATTCCATTATTTGGTTCCTAATAGTTTTTCTGTGTTCAGTATTCTTTTCTAAGTGGGGTTTTATGAGGAAAATCTTCTAAAAATGTTACTCCTTTGTGGGTTTGTAATAAAAATCAAACAACTTCGATTTATGAGTATTTATCTATTTTCTTTCAATATTCTGAATATCTTAAAGACACTAAAAAGGTATATATATTATAAGAGATATAATGCTAAAATTTACTTTTTCGTTCACTGGGAGCCAAATAAGGGTGGTCTGAGTTCTGCAAGCAATCCATTTGAACATAGGGAAATGAGGAAAGGTTATTGCAGTATTTCAAAAGGAACTTGAAGTTGCAGGTGATGAGGGAGACTCTTGGGGTATGGAATTGCTTTTCGGAGCTGCCTTGTAAAATACCTGTGAACTAATGATAGTAATGCATGCTTGATAACTGTTGGAACCTTATTATTAAACAAAACAAATTATTTACAAGTCTATGGATTTTTCACCTTTCTAGAAATAAAAATCTTAAAATGATTAGACAGAACAAATGTGACTATCGCTGCAGTTGTGTAATACAGTAAAGCAATACCCTTTTTATTTCAGCTATGAAATAATTTCTATAGGGCTCCATTAGCAAACGTTAAGCATTTTTTTTCTTTTATCCCTGAGTAATCTGGAATGTGGGATTTTTTTGCTAGAGCTAAAACATATCCCATGCAAATTTTGATAGCAGTGTTTTTCTAAAAGTCAAGACCAGGAATTTAAACATAGCTTAATGGAAGAATTATGACTCTTGTTATCCAGTTGCTGGATGTCTTGTACATTCCTGTACTGGTGACATTGTTTTAACCTAAGCTGATGTCAGTTATAGCAGCCTTGCTTATGTTTGAGCAAATGGATTCAAGATTAATACAACTGTTTGTGATCAATGTGTATGTAAGCAACGCTCTCACTTGTACTGTGGTTTTCTTTGGAGCATTTTCCTTTCCATCATGCTTTCCTAACTCTTTGTAGCCTGCAAAGCTAATGGGGGTAGTCTCTTTGTGGATCAATTCCTCGCAGTTTTGAAGTCATTGAAATTGATGATGTCCTGCTTGGCTTACTGGAGCAGGAACTGAGGGTAAAGATTATCTTCCTCTCCTCTGTAAGTGTGAGAGAAAAACGTTTTTCATCTAAGAGATGATTTGGGCAGTCAGGGAGGTCTGGAGTTTGGAGGGAAAAGTATATTAGAAATTCTCTTTGTTGTGGATGATGTTGCTACAATAAAAATAAAGATAACAGTGAAGTAAACTATGTGCTCCAAGTCTACTTGTTGCCATGGTAGTATTGAATATTTTACCTAAGTCTTTCAGACTGAAAGTCATCATTTCAAGTGAATATGATATACAAAGTGCAAGACCTTTATTTACTTGGTGAGGTTGTTCTACATAATTAAAAACAGAACTAAATAGATAAAAAATTAAGTCATCCAATCAACATGTCCTTAGTAGTCTTGTTGGAGAGAAATGCCTTGTCATTAGCATAACCACAACTATCATTGTCATTAGTGTCTACCATAAGAATTAAGGTATCAAGGTTTACTGTACTTTTTCCAAGGTTTTATAGGTGGTCAAACTCCTCTTCGTCTTTTTACTTAATTGGGAAAAAATGACATTGTAACTTACTGAACTCTGATTTTGCACCTCTGTATGTGTTTGTTTAACCAGAAACATAGAGTTATCAGTATTTATGCATAATAATATTGATATGACTGTTATAATCGTGTCAGTTTGATAATGACAGTTCTGAATGAGGCTTCTTTCTAGCCACTTGTTACCACCTCCTCAGATATGCATTCTGATTAATATGAAGCCTACTTATTTTTAGTTTTAATTTAGACCTAAAATTTATTTATTTTTTTTTAAGAAAGACTGGTTTTTGGAGAACCAGGCAAGCAAATCAGTAATGGGTGGGTTCCTACAGGTCTGTGTCCAACTGTCTTCAGCTGTTATAACAAGTGGTTTGTGCATGTAACATTGACCACAAACATAGAGGTAAAACCAGAAGGCATAAAGTTAATCCGGCTCCTTCCCATATACACTTCAGAACCATCTTTATGTTCACAGTTTCTTCTAGATGAACGTATGTTATGTTTTAGTTTTCATCAATGGAAATCTATCATAGCAACTTTACAAATTTTGAGAAATTTGGTGTTACAACTGTGTGCAGGGCACACGTACAGAGGTTTGTGTAGGTCAGCCAAAAACTTGCAGGCCTTTTGGTGGTTAATATCTGATGTGTGACATCAGAGATGGAAGAGAAAGGCTAATTATCACCTGTCAGCCACTCATCTGTTCCCATCTGATTGTGCTCAGAGAGTGATACACATCTGGTATGTCGAGTGTTGTTCACAGAGGCCAGTTGCCACCCTGAATTTCTTTCCAGCCCTTCTGGCTTGTGTGTGGTCTCTGGAGTTCCTCCTTGAGGTGGGCCTTCTTTAAGTAGTATAGAAAGCTACAAGTGGTGCTGAAAGGCTGGAGCACCGTTGAAATGAAGTCACTTATTCTGTAGTTGTAGCAGTGCCTGTTGTGGCTTAGACCCAGCTGGGAGCTAAGCACCATGTGGTCACTCACTCACTCCCCACCCACCACCACGCCTCCTGTGGAATGGGAGAGAGAATAGGGAGAAGGCAAAACACCTTGGGCTGAGATAAGGAGGGTTTATTAGAATGGTGCAAGGGGAGAAGAAACAACAGTAGTAACAGTGCTAGTAATGAAACCATGTGTAAAACCAGTGATCTAAACTGCACAGACCGACCAGACCTGCACCAACAACATGCCAGAGACTGAGCAAGCCTGGCCCTGCCTGTCCTCTGCCGTTATACAGCAGGCAAGATGTTGGGATGGTAGCCAATATTTGGTTGCCTATCCCAGCTGTGGCCCCTTTCTAAAGTCTGATGAAAATTAACCCTGTCCTAACTGAACTCAGGACATTATCCATCCCTTATTCTATACCATCTATGCCATGCCCAGCAGAGTTATTTAACAATTAACGTCATACAATTTAATTTACTGGCTGTTCTCCTCCAAAATGAAATTCCCTTGAGATACACATTGGACTTCTCCATCCTCCTACATCATCTACCAGGTCCACCCAGGTCCTTGAGCAAAAGCAATCCCATGGATGGGCTTTCCTTTGCATGAAGCAGCATTAACCCAGACCATCTTCCCTAATACATTCTTCATGAGCACTATGGGGACTTTATCCCTTACTACAGTATTTGGGAGTTTTGATTGAGCAGGGCCAGCTGGATTGGCAGATCATCTTGTGTTAACTAATGAGGTGGCCTTTGCTAAATATGTGTTCCAATATTTGAAGGTCCCACCCTCCTTTGCTCCCAGTGTAGTTTTTAACAGTCCATTGTATCATTTGATTTTCCTGGAAGCTGGTGCTTGGATTCCTTCATATGCTGCCAGTATCTCTTTTTCAGTTGGAGTGTAGTTGGCCTCACATCCTTCGTATCCCTGACTGCAGAACCCCAGAGGTCAGCCTCGGGTCTCCCCGGGTGCTCTCTGATGGTGGCTCCAGGTAGGACCATTCTTCCTGACTGCAGTGTAGAGAATGTTACTAATGTCTTGTCCTGCCCAGACTGGCCCAAGGGCTACTGTGTGCTTAATCTCCCATTTAATTGATTCAAAGGCTTGTTGCTGCTCAGGGCGCCATTTAAAATCATTCTTCTTCCAGGTCAGATTCCAAACTACAAGCCCCATTATCCCAGTATTGGAGCAGCCAGGTGAGAGGCTGCTCACTAGGTAGATAGCTGAAATCCTCCTGTAATCTTGCAGCTCACTCAGGGACAGGGACTGGGCAGGCACCTCTGGCTCTTCCTCCTGTTCTCAAGATAGTTCTGGTTTATTTTTACCTCTCACTATGCAAACTGATTTTTTAGTGCGTTTCTTTTTCTGTCTAGGGGCGACTGGTACCAGCACAGGTTGGTTCTTTGATTCAGCTTTAGCACCTGCTGGTCTGTTTTTAGGTCTGGAGACCTTCTCTTCCCCTTGAAAGCCCAGAATGGTGTTGAAAAGAACTCAGAAGGCATGAGCAAGGCCCCAGCACATTCTAGTGATTTGTGTCTCTTGGGAACTGCCAGGCTGACAACATATTTTTTCTAAATACTTCACTAGTTTGTTGGGATTCTGCACTTACTCAGGGATGAAATTTCAAAGCACTGAAGGTGACCATTGGCCTAAGCACTTGCCCGTACTCTCCCACACACCCTTCCACTCGCAACAATTCAACCTTGAGGTAGATCCCTGAGTGATACTCTTGGAAAAGAACTGTGTGACCCCAAAGAAAACCTGGCAAACATTCAGAAGACACAGCACCAGGAGCCTGCTGGCCTGGATATCCCAAGGATAGTAAAAATTCTGAAAAGCTGAGAAAGTCTCCTCCCCTATCTTGCACATAGATTGGGTGAGATCACTAAAAACCAACAATGCTGCATACAGGTAACTGCTTAACCTCATGACAAGTGATACAATCATATCCTATGTCAACAATATCCAGTACAGCAACATGGTAGTCCTGACCAGTTTCCCAGGAAATGTAAACATTGCCACAGGGAATACACAGAGTATGTGAGGATTGACCTAACACCACCAAGTGAACAAATGGACCAACGTTGTGAACAATGCACTATTTAACTAGTATAAAAAGTGCATATAACAATTTTTAACACATCTTGGTCAGATTTTGTTATCTCAACCCTTCAAGCCCTACACTGGGTGCCAGAAAGGACTGTCGTGTTTTAGACCCCGCCTGGTGCTGGGCACCACATGGCTGCTCACTCACTGCTCCCCAACCCCCCCCAAATGGGAAGGAGAAGAGGGAGGAAAATATAAAACCCCATGGGTTGAGATAAGGAGAATTTAACTGAACAGCACAAGAGGAGAAGAAGCAACAGTAGTAACATCAGTAGTGTTGACATGATATAAAGTGAGTGATACAAACCACACGAACCAGACTAGCTCCACAGCAGTGGTGCTGCCAGGGACTGGGTGTGCCAGGCCTGGCCAGCCCCCGACTCTCATACAGTGGGCATGGTGTTAGTATGGTGGCCAGTACTCGTCGTTGTCTCTCCTGGCTGTGGTCCCCTCCCAGCTTCTGGTGAAAATTATCCTTGCTGAACCCTGGATAGTATCCAAGGGTAAAAGCCAGGAAACAAAACATAGTGACCCACAGATTTTAGAAACAGCCTTACCTCTTTTGTTTATATGTTCACTATAAATCCTGATGTATACTATGATGATAAGCACAAGTGAGCACTTTCCACATATTAGTTTTATTTCTGTTCCTCAATAGAATAGTTATTAATTACAACCTACTGTTGATGCAGTGTTTGTATGATTCAGTAATGTGAGGGCACTATACCACAATGAAGAATTACACTAATGTTGTTTGTCAGCACACTTCTTTATAAATACATAAAATGTTCATATAAAAAATAAATAAAAAGGTTTCAAGATTAAATCACACCAGTGCTATTCCTTCTCCCTTTCCTTGCTTCAAGCAGTGGCCACTTTTCCTCTGCTTTTCTTCCTCTTTACTTGCTCTTCCAGGAGCTGATTTTCTCTCTTCTTAATTTGCTTCATCTTCTGGAAGCTGTAGGGCCCTGTCCTCACCTTCAGAAATCTCCCAGCTAGAGGAGTCTCTTTAGGGGCAGCATGGACTCTGCCAACTAGGGCTGACCAGACAGTTAAGTAATGAACTGCACAAAGGAGCAACATACAACTCTTAAGATCCAACACCTGCATTAGAGAAGTTCATTACAAGTTGTTGGCAAGAGGTATGAATCATGAGAGAGAGGTAGATAAGTCCCCCTGTAGTTCCTTAAATATTCCTGTCTTAAAACTTTCAGGTAGAGAAACTAGTAATTCGATAGTTTCTCCGTCTTTGATACCACTATTTTCAGTTGCACCTCAAACTATGGCAAATTTGCTAATCTAATCCAGTGGAGCATGGCTCTGTAACTGCAGTCTTTGAGCTTCTGGAGGTCCTTGGGGCCATGGCAAGTGGTTCTCAGAGTATTGTTAAACTGTCAAGTTTGACTCTTTTGGGATAGTGCTTCTGCATCATCTTAAGGACTTATTAACATCGGTTCATGGGAAATTATAAAGGCTATGAGGTAGAAAGCCAGGGAATTAACATGATGGAGAGCTGAAATTACTTTTGGTTAATTAAGCATTCCAAATACCGATTTTTCTTCAGCAAAAATAATTTTTGAAAATACGAGGACAGGTATGACCAGTGTTGAATTTCTGTCCATAAAGTGACAAGATGTGAAGACTGCTGTCTTGTTACTGAGGGTGAGATGTTTTTCAGGTGGTCACTGATGGGTCTCTCTTTATTGCAGTTTCTTCCTCGGTGTTGCCGTTACTGAGCCCCACGTTTCTCTTTCAGCGACTGTTCAGCATACTGCTCTCCCTGATGTCCATCTACCTTCTCCTCAGCACAGGGTAATTCTTTCTTATGCTGTTTGGGGTGGTCTTCTATATGAAAATCAAAAGCTAAGTGTGAAACTGCTGAATCTCATGAACGTTTCTGTTAAAGGTGTAACTTGTGCTTCCAGCTGTAGTCTCACCATTTATCTCCTTGTTTAGTTTCCTAAATAAAATCTCACGTGTACTTCCATATTCCTCCTTGTATTATAAACACTGGTTTGTTGACATTCCTTTCAGCTAGACCAGGCAGTGGCTGGAAGGTTACGTATTTAAAGACTCTTGCACCAAAATAAGAAAGTATGGTTTAATTAGGCTTTTGTTGTTTTGGCATGTTCTTTTCTGACTGAAAACAAAAGGAGATAACCTGTCTCCCAGCTGCTCAGCACTGGTGTCTGGTTATGGCTTAAGTGACATGTGACATTCCCTCCTTCACTAAAATGAGGGAAAATTTTATTCAGAGGGACTTTAATGGAAGTAGTTTTTTTCAAAGGGATGCCAATCTCCATAAAGAGTAGGGCTTGCTTCTTTTTGGATAAAAGTCAACTCAAAGTTTGTAAATGAAGAAAACAACCAACCCTTTTTTTTTTTCCCCCTGGCCCCATAGCTCTTACTAGAATAATTAATGGGGGAGTATAGGAATCATTCTTTCCACTTCCCCTTGCACTTATCCTTGGATTTAATTACATTGGAAAATTAAGTGGAATAAAATATCTTGCAGCAGACATTTTGTAATAGCTGTCTCTTGTGGATGCTCTCATTTTAGATAAAGCATCTCTCTTTTTATAAATCTCCTGCCTCCGTTTCATTTCATTTCCCCATTAAGATTTCGATCCTAATCTTAGTCCTGTCTGTGCACCTGCTCTTACACTCAGCTCTCTATGAATATCCTGGCTACTGGATAAAGCATGAGTGTTGTTTTCTCTGAGGCTGGTAACCTTTCTCTTTGTGTTTTGGCCCTGCACCAGATCACATAAACACTGACAGCCCTCTGTTGTCTTTCTACAGTGTTCAAACAGACCAACACATCTTGGAGCAATTCTTTCTTAAAAAAACAGAACCAAACAAGCAACCAGTCACAGCAGAACCAAAGCACTTAGTGCCAATAGTACCCAGGGTTTCTCTTCTCGTTGCTGTTATCCCATGTATTTGTAACCCAGGGCATTGTCCAGGGTAACTACAGCACCTCTCTAGGTGCCGTTACATGGGAGCCAGCTGAAGAGTGTGGTTGCATGCAGCTAGTTCTGGAGCCCCCATTACAAGACGGACGTGGACCTGCTGGAGCGTGTCCAGAGAAGGGCCACCAGAATGATCCGAGGGCTGGAGCAGCTCTCCTACGAGGACAGACTGAGAGAGTTGGGGCTGTTCAGTCTGGAGAAGAGAAGGCTCCGAGGTGACCTTATTGTGGCCTTCCAGTATCTTAGTGGGGCCTACAAGAAAGCTGGGGAGGGACTTTTTAGGATATCGGGTAACGACAGAACTAGAGGGACTGGGGCAAAGCTGGAAGTGGGCAGATTCAGGCTGGATGTGAGGAAGAAGTTCTTCCCCATGAGAGCGGTGAGACCCTGGAATGGGTTGCCCAGGGAGGTGGTTGAAGCCCCATCCCTGGGGGTCTTTAAGGCCAGGCTGGATGAGGCTCCGGGCAGCCTGATCTAGTGGGAGGTGTCCCTGCTCATGGCAGAGGGGTTGGAACTGGGTGATCCTTGTGGTCCCTTCCAACCCTGACAGATTCTGATCTATTTTAGCAGAGGACTTTAGAGCCCTAATGGCTCAATGGTTGGACTTGATGATCTTGGAAGGTCCCTCCCAACGTAAAGGATTCTATGATTCTAGTTGTCCCTGGCTCAGCTGAAGACATTTGATTTGAAGGCAAGTGTAGACCACTGTGAGGGTTGTAGGTACTTCTGTTACTGACAACTGAAATGTTGTCTTCAGGTTTTAACTGCTTGTCATTCTTAAAGCAGAAATGCCTATCCAGTATTTTTTGTTCCAGTTTAAATCTACTGTGTAGCTAGACTAGGGTGAAGGCATGGAAGAAAGAATACCAAGATAAATTGCAATGGTTTTCTTAGACAAGTAAGTGTATTTCCAAGGAGTGGGGAGGAAAAGAAAATGAAAAAAGACAAAGGAAATTTTCAATCTTGTCAGTGTTAGTGTCACAGTCATTGTCAGTATTAAACTGTTATCATGAAAGAAGAAATTTCTGAGAGGCACCGTGAAGTGCACCTGAGATGCCAAGGTGAAGGAGAAACTAATACTATTCAATGACTGTCTACATCCCTAAGTTATCTGGGGGTATTACTCTCTCAGGTAAGTACACTCTTGTTTGACTGCTGTAGGAGCCAGAAGTAACCCTCTGAGACTGGTGATGTAGCTGGAACAGCTTAGCAGTCTTGGTTGGAGTGTGACTTGGTGCTATTATTATAATAGATTGGTATGTAGTAAAGAAAAGGATATTGCCCTTCAGTTAAATTACTCTATAGCTTTAGGCTTCAGCCAGCCAGCTGTGGATACTCCTCAGAAATGTGCAGAGAAGGGAAAGAATGCCTCTAGGTCTTTGCTATACCATTTGTGTGAAGAAAAAAGAAAACAAAGATGTCAGTATTTGATGTTAAGTAGTTGTTTAGTGACTGCACTTACTATACTTATGTTACTCTTCAGGTACGAAGCTCTGTTTCCACTGGTGCTGTCTGGTTTGATGTTTGTGTGGATAGCTATGGAGCAAGAAGCACTGCAGCACTATGGTCTTTCAGTCAAACCCAAGGTAACAGGTCCGGGAAGCTGCATCAGGTTAATGAGCAGCATTATCTTTTTTGATTCATGAGGAGATAATAAATATTCTGAGTGGTTTTCATAAAGCAACATGTTGCATTCCTTTAAGTTTGGGAAGTCAGTATCAACTGTTTTATGAAATAGGACTGTGACCTTGTAAGAGAGCTTTATAATTTGTTATTGAAGGTACTCCACATCAAAGCCCTTTCTAGGAATGCAGGAAATCAGTTTGACTTGGTGGTATGTTCTGTGGGCTACAAAGCTCTGTTTGTCAAGTGTAGTGCTAATTTGGTGTAAGATACAGTAACTTTTTAGAGTAAATACAATGTCACTGCTCTTTTTTTTTTTTTTTTGATGGTAGAGTCATGAGTGAGAGACTGAAAAGAAATAATTTTATTTCTCAAATGACCCACAGGAAATACTAGAAAACTTAGTTTGATTTTGTCCTTCTGCACTTTCTTCAAGAATGGAGTTTTATTTCTAATTGGACAGACAAGGAGCTGAAGACTAACTTGGAACTAGCATCTCGGATTTGCCTAGCAAGGAAGATTTGTGATCAGTGCAACTTCTCTCACCTTAAACTTTAGTATACTGCAAACAGTTTTCAAAGGCCATGCTGCTTGTACTGTGGTGTAGCTTTTGGATTAGGTCAAGGGTTTAACAAACTGTGGCTACGTCACTGATTTGTTTAGATCTGAAGTGCAGAGTCACCTGGGTGCTCCAAGCCAGGCAGGTATGCAGCACAGCTCTCTCCTGCTCCCAGACAGGCTGTCCTTGGTGCAAGCCAGAGAGAACCTAAGTATGCATCCATGGGAATGGCCAGATTCACTTGCAGGAGAAGTGGCAGAACACATCTCTTCTTCCTTTTGTAGCTCATAATAGTTAGGGAGAAGTGCGGTGAGGTGAAATCTGGGTCAAGGCAGTCACCAGAGCAGACCTGACACACTGGTTTCATGGTTTTCCTGCAAGGGATACAGTTTTAAAACTTGAGAGAGAACAGGATTTATGAATTCAAGGCTGAATATCAGAAATGAAAAGGAGAATCACTTTTTATTTGTGCTATATGTCGTTAAGATATTTTGTGTGAGCATCCTTTGTAACCTCTTAAGTGATAAAGAATCTGAATGTAAAAATGTACACCTAGTGTGAGGCCATGATTGCAGCTGGAGATTTCTAGCTCAGCAGTATCATCAGGGATGGATTTTCACTTCTACTCTAGAACCCACTCTACATTTTGTAACAAGGCATCTGTGACACTTGTCTTTCTGCTGGTGGTCTGATGTTCTGTTTGCTTTAAAATAAAATTCTATTAAAGCAGTATTAAATGGTGATAAACACAATTAATGAAATACAAATGAAAAGAACGTAGATAAGCTATAATTAAGTTTTCTATTGTCAATCCCTGTATGCTGTTTGACTTTTGATTTTGAGTGAAAGGAGAATAATGCTTACCCCACATTTAGGTTAGAAAAATCATCTCTGGAATGCCTGTTAATATGTGCAACAAAGTAAATCTTGTATTAAAAAAATCCAGCTCAGTTTTTCTGATGTAAGATTATTTTTACTTAAAATGTTGTCAGTGTTGAATGTTTATTACCTGAATCTTTTCCATGGTAAAAAGGCATTTGTTGGCCTCTTAGGCTCCACAAAGGCAATTTCTCGTCAGGTCAAGTGATACTGTGCTGACAACTGAGTGAAAGAGAATATTTTAGTCTTCTCACTTGCACCATAAGTCAATTGAGGATAATTACAGTCTTTTATTTCCGTGGCTCTTTATCCACATGCTTATGTGAGCAGTACATGCATGCGTGTAGGAGGAATATTTATGATGAAAAAAGATGTTAAGTCTAAGGCATACAAGTTTATTTTTAGTGTATATAACAGCAGGAGCTCCACTGTTCGTTTGATCATCTCACTTGTACAATCTTTCTGGCAGATTCATTAAAGTATAATGAAATTATGGGAAAGGTTTACAGTCCTCATCATAACACTACTCTAATAACAGCTGATAGGGATGTAGGTTTATTTCTCATTCATTTCAGTGAAAATGTGTAGTTCTGTGGAAGTACATCGACTGGTATTTGGTATTGATTTGCTGTACTGTCTTTCCAGCTTGCTGGTTTCAACTTTGCGTATGCTACTGATATAACTCAGTTTCGGCAGCTGCACCTGGATGACATCCGAAGGGCTTTCTTCTTTGTATCCTTTTGCCAGTTGCTACATTCCAGGGAAAAGGTGGGTTTGTTTCAAAGGGCCCCGCAATCAAAATTTGTAGCCTGGTAGGCACTGGAAACAGAAGCTGGTGAAGATGATTTGACCTGTGTTGCACAAAGGACAATGGTCTTATAGATAATGCTTTTTGATAAAGTAATAAAAAGTACACACTGCACTGTTTTGGAATCTGGCTCTTTGGCCACTTGGCCAAGTTTGGTCTCTTATGACCGTAACAGTTGAGGTAAACTTTCTTTTAAGGAGTTCTGTTTTCAGTTTGGTTATGTTTTGGCACATTTTGGCTGGAGGGAGCTCATTTAGCCTTCACAAACCTATTGGGAAAGGTGATATTAAAGGTATTCACATTTTCTCACATTTAGAGTTATGGCAGTGTGTTATGAAGAAAATGTTAGGGGGCAGGCATTGGCCATGGCCAGTTAGGTGAGAAGGAGAAGTTCATGCAGAATCTTCATGAAATGTATTCCCAGAATCTGGCCTAGAATTATTTATATCAGGGATGATTTCCTACTGTTAGAAGTAAGGGATTAAGAGGGAAGAGCTGCTTGTTCATGAACATAGCAGTTGTTTTGCATTACTGTAACTGAAACTACAGGTGATTTTTTTTTTTTACACTGTACAGACTTGATAACATCATTTTTCTCTTCTATCATGGGACTGTAGTTAAAGGTATTTTGCACCAAGGGTGATAGGGGTACAAGTGTGAAAGAAATTATGAGCCAATCTAGAACACAGGGATTTCTAGTGCAGGTGAGTTACCATAACAGGTGCTGGGTGGAGAATTGTCTCAATACTGGTTCCTGCAAAAGCAGGCTTTAGAGTTGGTAGAATAACCAGATCTGAGAAGGTGGATTCCAGTCAGAGTCTACACTGTTGGAACAACACTGTTGGGCACTGGGAGCCTTCAGCAGAGGAAGTGTGACAGATACCTCGTTAAGAAGGCAGCTCAGTGCTAAGGAAGGAGGTAAAACAATTCGCTAGGTGTTGAATGTTTGTGTTTCAATCTGTTTCATTTGCTATTTTAGCAAAAAATAAGCTAACTTTTAGTAACAGTGCTGCTGCCTTTCAGATGCTAAAAATTAGCCAAAACAAAAATAAATTAATCCAGTCATATTTTTTAAAGTTGTAGCATAGTATTACTTCAATCTAACACTTGAATATAGCACTAATTGAATCTCCTCTTAATTTAAAGAACTTGAATGTATTTTGTTCGGCTTCTGGAAAAAATGTACAATTTACAGGTCTTCTTTGAAGAGACCAGATATGACACACACCTGCTCAAAAAATGTGGCTTTTTTAATTTGAATACTAATGTTTTGAAATAGTGGTATTAGAAGGGAAACCTTTTCTACTAGAGCGGTCACATTTCAACTATGGGCATGCAAGCTGTCTCAGGATAGTCTCAAGGTTCCTGAATAGGGCCCAAAAGAATATGCTGAGCGACCTTATAGACTGATCTTCCAGAAGTTTCAGATTGCTAATGCTTGGCATTTTGATTAGACCTATGTGCTACTGGTATTTTTTTGTTTGATTGCAGAATTGTTTGTCTTACAAATCTTAACTGGCAGAGCTGTGCAATGCTGTTAAACTGCTGTGTTTCTAAATGTCAAATGATGTGATACTCCTGGGAAGAGTAATTTCTTTAGTTATGCTGACCTAATCCTTCCAAAATATTGCATGCAAAATCCCAGTGATTCTGCTGAACAGTTGGTAGCAAATTTTTTATGCAGAAACTTAAATGATCCAGTGCAGGAGCTTTAACAGGAATGAGAGGACCAGAGGGAACATGCAGAGATGCTGCTCTGGCAACAGTAGCCGTCATCACTGGCTAACCCTCTACCTGATGAAAAGAAAAAAGAAAAAAAAAAAAATTGAAATCCATTGTCTGACTGATGAAATGTGAGCTATAATGGGCCCAATATGCTCAGGAGATAGAAAAATACCTTTTGTGGGCTCATAGAGCAGGAAGTGTTATACCTAGATAAAATGAATAAGGTTTATAAAAAACCTTCCAGCTATATAGATCCTGCCAGAGTCATCCTCCCTCCCTTAAGTAAGGAAAAAAACCTTGGAGTCCCATGTTGCACTGGGATAGACTCAGCATAACCTTTGGACATCAAACCTGTCAGAAGCATAGCACAGGAACCTTTAGTCTTATTCCCTATCTTATCCTATCTTATCCCCTCTTCCACAGTCAGTTTCTCAGTTAATCCATCTCTTTTGGTGTGCAGTACACGTGCATATGTCCTTACTTTCTGCCAAAGCACGTGTGTTTGAATGCATAGCTGGGATTGTGGTCCAGGGATGTTTATACATTGCTAGGTAGGGACCCAGAAAAAACAAGCTGCAGCTTTCCTGCAGGTGCCTTCAGACAGGCTCTAAAATCTTACCCAGGCAGTCCCTGTTCTTTAAAATTGACATAGTTGTGTGTGAAATCTTGGGTAGAGCTAGACAATACTTTGGATTTCTTAGTGTAGTATAAAACTGTAATAGTGGGTCAGCTTCTTGTAGTTTCATGACAGAATTTTGAAAGTAAAGTAGAATGAAGGGGGCAAAATGCTTTGGTTTTTTTGCTGCAGCCATTTCTGTGGTATATTTTCCTGAAATATATCTAGGTTTTCTTCATAGTGACAGCCTTTTTTGGCACTGGAAACATAGCTTCTGTTAACAGGTAAGTTTTATTCATTGATTTGAAACACAGGGTATAAAAAAATTCTCCCTGCCACTGGCATTATAAATTTGGTTAACAAAATCAGCAGAATTAAAGCCGTAGTGAATGGAATAATGATAATTTATTTTGTTTCTGCTCTCTGACATGTCTCCTAAGAGCCTGAGCTTGTTGGTTATGGAGGTTGTCTCAGTTTCCATTAGAAGCTGCTGGCAGCATGTGCAGAGAGCTCGGCTGCTCTCCAGCAGCATGGCATCTCAAAAGGCATGAGCAGAGAAACACTGAAGGGAAAAAAGAGTGAGGCAGGCAGTCCCTGCTAATTCATTACTTGAGCAAGAGAAAAGGAGCTTTGATATAAATGTATATACGCACAGTGTGTTACAGGATTAACTAAATGCTCTGGTTTTTTTATTGGGAAGTGCCATTTCTAAGATACATTGTGTTGTCTTCTGTTTCTCTAGTTTTGATCCTGCTTCTGTCTATTGTTTCTTGACTGTGTTCAGTCCCTTTGTGATGGGAGGTTTGCTTCTTCTGAAGGTTAGTGATCTTACCTTAGTGAAATTCTCTTAAAGAACTGTTTAATACTTAACGTAATCACACACACAGTTGTTACTTTGTGGTTTACAAAAATATATATCTGTATTTCAGTTGTGTTAGCCTCCTTAACCGTATGTGAAGTTCTCAGCCTTTGTAGGGTTTCTAGAGACAGGTCCTTCTGTTTCACCAAAGAGAGAAGCTAAATTACATAGAAGTGCAATTTAACTGCATTAGAATCACTGAGTTATTAAGGTTGGAAAAGACCTCTAAAGATCTTCAAGTCCAGCCATCACCCAAGACTACTACGACCACTAACCCATGTCCCCCGGTGCCACATCTACACGTTTTTTGAACACCTCCAGGGATGGTGACTCCACCACCTCCCTGGGCAGCCTGTTCCAGTGCCTGACCACTCTCTCAGGAAAGCAATTCTTCTGCACATCCTATCGAAACCTCCCCTGGAGCAACTTGAGCCCATTTCCTCTTGTCCTATTGCTAGTAAGCTGGGAGAAGAGACCAACACCCACCTCACTACAGCCTCCTTTCAGGTACTTGTAGAGAGCAGTAAGGTCTCCCCTCAGCCTCCTCTTTTCCAGACTAAACAATCTCAGTTCCCTCAGCTGCTCCTTATAAGACATGTTCCCCAGACCCTTCACAAGCTTTGTTTTGTCCTTCTCTGGACCTGCTCCAGCACCTCAATGTCCTTCTTATACTGTTTATTATATTAAAATGGAAATTTTAAATGTTGAAAAGGCAAATAATTTTAAAAATTCTAAGCTTCCCCTCTAATATATCTACAGAAACATTGAGAATGTATGCATTTTATTAGCTCTATCTACCCTAAGTACAAGCTTTGAATGCTCTACAGAGTTAAGTTGTTGGTTTACAATGAATATAATTTTTTTTATTTTTTAGTAGTCTTTCAAAGATTGGATTACACTTCTTGTTTGCACAGAAGTTCTGGGAGCTCTTTTGTAGTATTTGATTAAAGGATCTGCCAGAGGGGTAAAGGGGCAAACAGGAAAGGAGACATGGGATTTACGAGTTATTGCTGAAATAGCAGCATTTCCTGCCTCTGCCTTTTTGCTGCTTCTGTCCCAGAGAGAACAGCCAAGTTACAGGTATACTTCATGTTATACTGCAGGACTTAAGTCAGCAATGGCTGTGAGAGAGCAGGTTTCAGCAGTGCATTTACTCTGCGAACCTCAAGATTACAAGTCAACCTTGAAAAGTGTGAAAGCCAACAACAAGTGTCTAACTTGTTCGTTTTGTTCTTAATTTACTGAACTTTTACATGTGCTAGACTTGGCTTTTGGAGGGGCGGCGTGATCCTTGCCTTACTGAATACCTTCTATATTCAGATTTTTTGTGGTTGAGTTGAGATTGTCCTATTACGCTTGGAGCTCTGCAGGCTGTCACATGAGATATTATATCTGAATTGTTCTGTCTTCTAGCCTAGTTTTAAGTATTTGTCACTAGTGCTAAAATGGATAAATGAAGTTAGAATCATTAAAGTGTTTTAATTATAGTTTTCCATATTGCCTCATGGCTTATTTCACTGCAGTTCAGCTGTGACCATGGAAGCGTGGGGTTTGTTTTATTCATTTATTAATCATACTTTCCGCAAAATGAGTTTCTACCATTTCTTGCCAATATTTTATTTTTGTAACATACATATTCTGTGATCATTTGGAAACCAGGACAATGTTTCCACAACCTGCGAGGCTGTTTTGTAAATATGGCTGTAAACCAAAACGTAGCTTGTGTTTTAAACAGGTTGTAATCCCGTTTGTGCTGGTATCGTGTGCTTTCGAAGCTGTCCAAGTCACAACACAACTGTCTTCTAAAAGGTACAGTAACTGCTATATTTTTGCATTAGTAAGGGTTTCAAACATGTTTTGCAAGAATTCAGAATTGTCAGATCTCAGTGTAAAATGTTAAAACCCCATAAATCACATTGTTACTTTTGTTATTATAATTTAGGGTTTTATTCAGGGATTTTTGCAAACTCAGGAATTCTTAGTGATAAATGGAAGTGTTTGCCCTGTCTGAAACAATCATACTTAATATTCCTAGTTGACAATACACAGGAGTACTTCCCCCTGATGTAGAACAACTGGTAGAATTTGTAGTCCAATTTTTTGTTTATATTACAACTCTGCCTATAGTATATTTTTTAAATAACCTATTTATAATTTATAGCTTTGTAGCACTGACCTCACCACAAATAGCATTAAAAAAAAGAAAAAAGGCTTGAATGCTCTTCCAATGGAAGAGCACTGCTTTTTTGCAGTAGGAGTAGATGGCTGCCAGTCCTTCTTCTATCTCAGAATGTGAGATGGGTTCCCAGCCTTGCAGAGTGCTGTATCCAGGCTTGAGACACTCACAAGTTTCACTGTCTTGAGGTTTAGGGTTTTTTTTTAACTGTTAGCACTCTCTACCCCTTACAGTGGACCCAGTGCACGTCATTAAATCCTCTGCTCATCATATAAGATTACAGATGGTTCAGAGATGCAGGAGGTCCCTGTCAGCCATGTGATTTTGAGTTAGTCACTGTGGGCTGTTGTGTGGGGTTGACCAAAAGTTGTGCTGTCAGTGGCGGGGGGACTGCAAGGGACTCTGTCCTGCGTATTGCTTAACTGAATAGTGAGCAACAGCACTGTGATGCCCTCTCTGTTTAGTTCCTGTTTAGTTTCATCCTGTCTGTGCCCTGCATGTTGTCTCCTTATACAACACCACCTGGTATTCACAAGTGACAATGCAGCCCAAAAATCTGACTTCTTGTTTGAAAGGCAGCACAAGGCTCACCATCCCTTTTACCTTCTTTGCCTTAGCTGTGTACACAGCACACTTGGACTGTCCTTGGACCCCCAAGAAGGGTATTCATCCTCCAAACTAAGGCTCACACAAGAATGGGGTTGCTCAGGAGACTAGATAGTGATTTCCATTTCTGGGGTTCAGGCCTCATAAAGGTCAGTGTTTCCTAACTTGTGAATGCTTGCATTGGCAGCTCTGGTGATACTGCAAGCTCTTAGGGAATGTGCATCATCAGAGTGTGTGAGGGGGGAGAGGAAATCAGTGTCTTAAACCAGGGTACATGGGTATATCTGTGCTGTTTTACGAGGCTGTGCTTGTAACTCTGGCTGGTATTTGTGCCAGCTTCATTTAGCTGTGCTCAGATAACAATAGCAGTGATATTGCCACAGTGGCAGCCCTGGGAACAAGGCAAAAACCACAAGACGTGCCCAGGATGCCTGGAGAGGTTGTGCTCTGATTGTCAGCACATCCTGAGGTCTGTGCTGCACTCTTTATTGCTCTTGCTGCCCCCACTAGATAAATTAAGCCCTCACAGGGGACAATCTTGTCTTTGCAGTGTGTAAACATGCTCTGAAATTAGTGTCGTCCTTCTGTTGTGAAAGGCTTCCTGCAGTTCAGAAGGGCAAAAAGTAGATTTTTTTTTTTTTTCTCTGATTTGGACAGATTGCTCCTAAACTCCCTATTTACAGATTAAAGGTTTGGGTTGGTGTTTGTTTGGGTTTTTTTTTGGTTTTTTTTTTTTGTTTGTTTGTTTGTTTTGTTTTGTTTTGTTTTTTTTCTGTTAAGGGGAAATGTTCTGTCAGAATATGTTCTTGGAACTTGCCTGTGAAAACAGCCCTCTAGTTGAGTGCCTCCTAGGCCCTACAAGATTGCAACATTCTGTCTGAGCCATAGGCAAATGGAGAGAAGCCTTTCAGTGCATTTGATATAGATAGAGTTAGTTTGTTTAATCCTTATTTACTACTGAAGCATAGCTGATGGAGGCAATATCAGAAATTCTCTCATCAGGAGGCATTGGTGTGGGTGTCCCCCCAGTACATGCTCGTGCAACACTGCAGCAGGACATTTTCCCAAAAACAGCTTTGTGGATTTATGATGTTAATACTGACAAAGTAACTGTATTCTAGTTAGAGACTTTTCTGTTAATGGGTCAACTGTTTGCAACATTGCTTCAGTGTCATTAACTCAGAAACTAGTTATAACCAGTTATAGCAATTGCTTTCATGTAAATTAGGATTTACATAGTTTAATGAAAAGATTAGGTTAATTGAGGAAAAAATAGCTTGGAGTGCTTCCTTCTGGTTCCTTTTACTGGTTGCAGCTTACTTTCCAGAAGTAGCTTGCTGCCTGACAGAGAGGTCCCTGAGTTTGGGAGCGTGTCACCAAAAGCTGGTCATTCCCAAAGCAGCTGAGGGGCACTGGGAGATCTGGAAGGGTGGTGAGCCTCTGCTTTAGCAGCCTCCCACCTAGCAGGGTGGTTGTCAGGGCAGGACTGATCAGCTCAGGTATCTGTCTGCCTGTGCCAAATGGCTTCGCTCACTCTAGAGTCCATCGTGAAGCTTCCCAATGGGCTTTATTTGGTGTAACCCACACGTGAGCTCGCTGCATCAGGAGAGGGCAGGCGCTGTTGTGGGATGCTCTTCTCCTCTGGTAAATGACTCGTGTTAGGTTTCTCTCTTGCAAAATTGTAACTCAATTAATGTGAAATGTCTTTTTCAAGCAGGGTGGGATTACAAATGCCAGATGTCCCAGGTGTATATTTTAACTGTTCTATAATACATTGAAATGTATCTGTCTGGTTGAAGTGAAGAAATCATAGCTTATTTTAATTTTTTTTTCCTGGGGATTTTAATAAGCTTTGTACCATCTGTGGTCATAAATAAAGGTTTGTGGTCTGATTCTTTTTTTTTTTCTTTTCAGCCTTTTCCTCATTGTTCTTGTGATTTCAGACATTATGGCTTTGGTAAGTTGTTGTTGCACATTCTCTTTAAATAAGATCAAAAAGCAGAGGATTCTCCTGGTTTGATCTAGAGAGATCTGAGATTGCTTCAGACTTCAAATTTTTTGTAACTAGGGCAGTGAATTGAATTGAAATCCTAGCATAATTTAGAGATAAAACTCCTCCAATCACCACTCTTTCAATTTCATGTAATGAATGCTTCTGAAGAAGCAATATTCTCATAATGAGACAAAAATGAAATAATAAGTTATCGTTCTGAATTTTTTATGTGCTTTCCAATGAGATTCCTAGGAAGAATTTAAGTAAGAATAACAGTTTTTGCTGTGTGCAGGTTGTAGTTAATTTTTCAGGGATTTTGAACCTTTTACTCACCCCACATTCCCTTGAAAAAGAGAGGAAAAGGAGAAATATGTTACCCACCAGCCCTGCTAGAGTTGTCAGAATCCAGGAAATCGGCAACATCTGAAAAGACACTTTGAGCCCTTTATAATAAGCTGTTAGAAAATGTTATCTTCAGAAAGCTTGTGTCCACAAACAAGCTAGCTAAAATGACCCAAAGCTGAACAGTACCCCAACATCATTTTTACAGATCACTAGTACATTTTCATTGCTCTCTCAAAAGTGTCTTCAACCCAGCAAGCAGTGCCACTGGGTATCACAGGGTAAATGGAAACCTCTTCAATGCAGCAGGTAAAACTGGGGTTCTCACTTCATACGTGCTGGTTTAGTTTCATCCCTTTGGAGTACGTGTTCCTGATGTGATTTCCTTGTACAGTGTGTTCTATGGATCTCACCTGATAGGAAAAACAATGAGGGAGGAAAAAAAAAAAAAAAACAAAACCAAAAAAAACCACTTAATTTTTCTGTAGGTGAGAAATGGAGTTTTCCATTTTCCAGCCACTCCTCCCCAAGCCTGGAGTGTTGCCTGGGGCTGTTGTGACCCATATGCAGGACCTGGCACTTGCCCTTGTTGAACCTGGTCCCACTGGCCTCAGCCCATCAGTCCATCCTGTGCAGATCCCTCTGTAGAGCCTCCCTACCTTCAGGCAGATCAGCAGCTAAAATTCAAGGGGTTCACTAATAGACAAGTACTGTCTTCTCCCAACAGTATTCCCATTTTACAGGTGGAGAACTGCCAGAGTTGCCCAAAGAAATTTGTGGTAGAATTCCATTAAAGTAATACGCAGCCTTCTCTTTGCAACTAGGTGCTATTTGTGATCTCATTATTTCAATCAATAAGGTGGCTTGGCTTTTCTTCTTGAAAAAATTCTCTGCTGGTAATCTTCTGTTTCTTGCAAGGCCAGACTGACAGCACATCTTTAGCTGTTTGTGTTTGGTACCATCTTAAATCTATTTCTGGCTCCTAGGCTATTATTTGCTTTGGTCTAAATGGTCATTTGTGGAAAGGTGTTGCCTTTCTCCTACTTTAAGAATTAGAAACTTGGAGAAAACAGCCTGAAAACACGGTGTTCAATTTTGTCTTTCAAATTGTGCAGTGTTGATATACTAATCAAAGTTGTTTTATTTCCTAGCATTTTTTCTTTTTGGTTAAAGATTATGGAAGCTGGCTGGATATTGGAACAAGGTACAGTATGGTTTTTTCATCCATTGCATTTTTAAAAGGCTCATAGGTCAATATTGTCATTTATCTACTCGGAGCTCTTGTACTGTTTTTCAGTTACTCTCCTTAATCTAATGCTTCAGTGATGTTCCCTCTACTTAAAACTCATGTGCATGCATGTGTGCACACATCTATTTCTACATGTATATGTATCCCAAGCTAAAACTTGTGTCTTAAAATATGTGCCAGAGCAACACAAAGTAATGCATCTAGCATGGCAAGGAAGACATGTAGTAGGTTTTATCTGATTTCTACAGAACAGAACTACACAAAAAGTATTTTTATTCATTTTGCATTTTAATTAGTTGCAATCGCTTTTAAAATAATTTATCAAAATTGTTAGTTTTCTTGAATCTAGCTAAACCTCTATACACAATTTCCTGTGAATTAATGAACCTTGTGCAAATATGTTGGTGGCTACCCAGCCCCATGCATTTATCCTCCCCCTAGCTGGGAAGAGTAAATCTGTAGCATCTAAAAACAGAAGTTAGAGCTAAAATGAGAGAACTTGTTTTGATTTTTGAGTGGGACTAGCCTCCACAGCATACATCGTGGGGTAGGTTTTCAGCTGTGCAATCTTATTTGTGAGTAGTCCAGAAAACAAATACAAGGAATATGTATTTCAGATTTACCTTCCCTGAGTTGTGAAAATGGGAAAATGCTGTAACAAGCTTAGTAGGGAACTTGTAAATAATCCAGCCAGTCTGGTCACTTGACACTGTTAATTAAACAGAAGTTGAATAGCAACCCATTGTTAATATTCTGTTTAGTCTGCATTTACTCGGTGCTTTGCTGAGCCCCAGCATCCCTTCCAGTGAGCACATGTATTCTGCCTGGCTTCTTTGGGGGTTCAAATTCCTGTTTTTTAGCTGCCTTTTGAAGGTTCCCAGTGGGAGGAAATGCAGTTAGATCAGATAGTGGAAATGAGACTTCAACATCACTTCGTTGCAGTTTGTGGTAAATCAAATGGCCTCATCCTTTGGTTTGAATTCCTATGCAGATTAATAGAGGATATTAAAGACCTCAGAAAAGCTCTGTCCTGCTGGGCAAGAAGCCGTCTAATTGGAGTCAGCAATCAAAAATACAAATTGTTACAAGTACCCCAAAACTTCCTCTTTATATACCATCTTTCTAGCATAGAGTTTTACAGTGGTGATAGATTGTTGAATACATTTCAGCTGGAAGTTTGCCTTATCCCAGAGAGTTAGGGGAGATCATTATGCACAACCATAATTCTGTCTCCCTGAGTTTTGAGCACTGAAGAAAGCACTGAAAAAGACCTTTCTAAAGCGTTATTTGTAATTAAAGTGGAAATACATAGTGCTCAGGCAGCCTTTAATTTGTCATTACTTCACTTTTGAGTGCTTGACTTTGACACCTACACTATTTTATTGTAGCCTCTTTTATATGTGTTGTGTGTATATATGCATAAGATAAAAATGATTTGGCTACATAAGAAAAGAGGTGAAACCGTAGACAGAGCTGAAGTGGTCTTTCTTTTACCTAGCATGAGCAATAGTTTGGCACCCAAATCTTCTTCTCTGATCAGATTACTAATGTGTGATCTTCAAGCTGGGCAAAATCAGCAGGCAGCAGCAGACGAGTTGTTACTGTTGTTATTTAATCCTGAAGGGGAAGGTGAGCTACGTGGGGTTTTGGGCAATTCATTCCCAAACCAGTGGGAAAGAGATACTACCATCGTTCTTTCCTGTCCTGTTGCAAATGCCATGACAGCTCTGTGGCATTTCCCACTGCAGTGTTGTCTGTTGTTGCTTTGACAGCAAGGTCTGAAAATATCCCATCTCAGGTGACATTTTAGGTGTTGCCAAAATTTTCTGGAGAAGGCTGAGTCAGTTAAGGAAATGGTGATTCTGTTTTTTTCCACCTGTTTGTATCTCAACAAAACCTGTGTAGGATTTCATGGAACAAAGTATAGGAGCACCCTTGAGGGCAGCTGCTCTCATCTCTTTTTTTTCTTTTTGTGCCACAAATAGGAAGTGTGTGTGTACACAATTATTAGTGTTGGTTCTGTATTACTAGTTACCACGTCATTGAGATCACGGGTGGGAAAGCAGCAATTCCACTGCCCAGGGAATATTCGTTCTTTCCAATACCAGTGCTCAGAATTTTCATATGCAAGAGCTGATTTTAAATCCCTTGCAATAAAAAGATGACCTGCACTGTTTTTTTTAATAGTGATGTTCTGTTTCCTAGTGGATCTCTCTCGCTGTTTGGAAGTAGGGTTTATTTACAGAACTGGCATAGTTCCTTTTTCTTTAATTTCACTCCTGACTTTTACATCTCATTCTGCCATGCCTTAACCACATTACATGTAATCTGACCATGCCTCATATTTGCCCTAACCATGTGATGTCTTTATTCTCCTGGCTGAATTCACCATGCCATTTAGGTATTGTCTTTGTAAAAAGATTTCTTTTTTTCCTACTCTTCCAGATTATTAATGAGTTGCTGAGCAGCAACAGATCCAACATATGGTCCTGTATTACCACATTCAGCAAATTATCTACGCACCACTGATTCGCTGCTCTCAGTAAATTATCAGTTACCATAAATATTTATGGCTTCTTAAGAAGTTTTAAAGCCCATTTGCTTAATGGTCATGTCAAAATCCATGTGAACTTGTTTTTCAGAGAGTGCTCTTCACTGTTTTGATAAAATAAGGGAGTATTAATCTGTGAAAAAGTGAATGCAGAACTCATAACAGTGGCTTATGCAGCCTTCTGAGGTCTGCTAACCTTACCCTCTACCTGTGTGTCATGAGGTCACCTTAAACTGCATCACGTGCCTCAGAAGAACAGACCATTACATTTCGTAAAAATCATAATGCAAGTTTCCTAGTATTTTTTCTGTGTTGGTGTGTAGTACATGATCATGAGAAGTTTGTTCTGGCAGATTGTTTTATTTTTGTAATAACAGACAAATGCAACAGCTAGCTTTTTAGCTTGTCACTAAAATAATTTCTCTATGGCTTAAGGTATGTTTATAGATCTCTACAGATGTAGAAGTATAGCCTTTAAAGCCTACTATATCTATACAGTATATGCACTTTGTAAATAGCTGTGTATTCAGGTAGCCAAGATAAACCCTAAAGCTTCTTTGTATGATAATAGGATATAGTTTTATACAGATACATACTGTACTACACCCTTCTTCTTCTAACAGTTGCTGGAAGATAAAGATGCAATCTCAACTGTTTCTTTGCCGTTTCAAAGTTCAGGGGACCATAGATAAAGGACAGTAGAGTTGTTTTTAGGATTTAGGCTAACAATCTATTTCAAGTTCAGGGTGCTGAGGCTTCTAGGTCTGACTATTAAAATAAAGGTCTTAAAACTAGGAGGACAACAGAGTTTACCAATAATTTCTAAAACAGGAGCTAGGAGTGATGTGCTTTGTAATTTATTTTGTGTGAAACAGAGGAGAGAGGGTGTGGGATCTTGGCTGAAAATGTAGGAGACTTAAAACTCGGACTCTAAATCTAGGCTCTTAGTGTGTGCTTGGGAACAATCCCACAGATCAAAGTAGCATGTTGTGTAAAAATAAGGTCCCTGAACTCTTCTGGAGAGTGCTGTTCCAAGTCCTTGCACAAGATGGTTTTGTTTTAATTGTTTTGCTTCTAACTTTTTAATTGCTGTGGTTACTTCCTCCATCTTTCTGTCTTCCCAGCTTCTAATCTGGTTTTACCATTTTAGGATTTAGCCTGTCTTGGCAGAAAGCCACATTTTGGAGCAAGACTGATTTTTGTCCCCCCCAACCCCTGCCACTCCCCCTTATTTTTTACTGATCTTTGATTGTTTTTGTCTTTGATTAATACTTCTCACTGATTTGCACTGTCACAAAGCAAGCCAGAAGATGGTAGTTCCTCATATGTTCTCCTTTTGGTTCCTTGCCAGTGAAACAAGCATCTTCCCTCATAGAAAAACTTCCTAACACCAGTTTGACCTATTGACCTTGTTCCATACATATGACACATATGACAATGTTTTCTGTTGACCAAAGCTGCCTCACCTCGAGTGATCCACTACACCAGCTACCTCTTCTCTACCATGACCAGGCCCTGCACATTTCTTCCTTTATGCATTGCCCCACTGTGCCCACTGTTCTGTTCTCTTGTACTGCTGTTGTGGCATATACCCATAAGGGCCTTGCTTTGTTTTTTTTTAATCATGGCATTACCCCAGCCTGAGGACTTCCTTACCAGGCAGAGCTGCCTGCGGGCACTGCAGTGCCAGGTACTGATAGCCCCAGAGATGCTGTTTGTAGTTCTGTGACAAGTAGAGTGAAGTTGGTTTTAATTGTGCTTTATGGTATTATACACATATTTACTCTGAAGATCTGATTCATTAATAAAGGACCATAACTAGTCAGCCTTTTGCAGTATACAAGGGGAGAAGTGTGTTCAGTGCTCTTTCCTTTACAGAAGTTCAGAGGATCCAAATCCTTGACTAGGTAGCTAAGCAGAGTTTGCAGAGACATTTTCCCTTGACCAGCCCCCTCTCCATGTATCCCAAAGTCACTGATTAGCACTGACATCTGGACAGGCTCTTTTGTGGGACAGACAGGAGCTCAGATGCCTGTCTGTGTAAGAACCATGCTGAAGGCAGCAAGTCACCGATCCTCAGGTGACTGTCTCAGGATATCTGTACGAATAAAGGCAGGGTCTTCATTTGGCTCCTGATTTTCAGATTTGTCATTCAAGCTTTCTTTGAAAACTAGAAGGAAAGTGATATTTCTGCTTACATGAAAAACTACAGCTCTGGTGACAGGTAAGAAGGAAAGCCTGAGGTGTCATCAGCAATGCATGAGATGTTAAACTATCCAGCTATTTACCAGAGTGGCTTGTCCCTTAACCTCACAAATTTCTGCAAAGTCCAGAGCACACTGACCAGATGAAAGTGAGCCTTGTGCCTGCTGACTTCATGCACTTGCTGTGTCTTCTTAGGCCTTCCATACAGAAACAAGGCAGGAGTATGGCTCTTTGGGGCACACTGCTTTGCATAGCTAAAGCTGGAGGGAAAGGCACATAGGAAAGATGGTTCCTGACTCATATTTTAAACCTTGAGTTGTTCACATTTGTGAATGTTTTCAGTTGTGCTGCATACATGTGGGAGTTCATAGAGGTACAAGCTGCAGGCTGTTGTGCTGGATAATGGTTATTGAGATCTGAGCTCATTTATGCTGGTGGATTTTTGTCTTTGATTTCTTAAAACGATGTATTTTGAGCAAGGTGTTTGTGAGAAGGCTTAGTCAAACTCAGCTGAAACAGAAAAATCTTGTAGCGTGAGTCAAGTCCCTTTCAGTGTTCTGCATCCACTTTGGTCAGACCTCAGCTCCTTTCTTTGCTGGCTGTGGAAGAGCTCACACTCATTAGTGAACTTTTTGGATCACATTTATTCTCTCCCCCTGTTTAGCCATCTAGCTTTGTTAAGAGCTGGCGCTTCTCTGCTTCACAGAGCTCAATTGCAGTAGGTGCCAGAGTTGTCACAGTCTTGGGGTTGTGAGGATTGATAGCGTTGGCATTATGAGCTTTACTGCTCTTCCATGGACTGAATGAGTCCTCTGGCAGAAATTCCAGGTCATTAAACTGGCAAGTGCTTCTTGCAATCCTTTTTTGTGACTAAACTCAGACTTCGAGTCTGAAGTTACCGTGCTTGTCCTAAAGAGCCATCTGCCTTGAAATTGTGGGTGTTGGGTGCATCAGGAGGTGTGGGTGCCTACCTCTCGTGTCTGAATGCCAGTATCTTCAGAAGTCCCAGGAAAAGAGCAAACAGCTGCCCTGGATGTGTGATGGACACCGGTGCAGGTGTCTCATCTGCAGCTCTAGCCTATAATGTCACTGGGCTTGGAAAAAAAGACATTTCTTAATGGCTAGTGGTTCACATTAACAGCAGCTTGATTCAGACATTGAACACAGGATGCTGAGTATCCTAGGCCAGACTCTCACTCTGCCCCTAAACAGTCCATCTGTAACACTAGTGAACATACGGTGCCAGAATTTGAGCAAGTGGAGAACAAACTCTCTGCTTGTTATCCCTTTAATCCTTAGTGACTTAAGGACTCCCTAGCCCAGAAGCTGCATCCTCATACTGTCCTGAACTTGTTTAATCTTGTTGAAACCGTGTATTACCATAGCAGAGAACTCTGTAATTTTTAGAAATATAGAGTGAAAAAGTAGGGATTTTTTTTTTCTTAAAGCTTTTCCATCACTGGAATAGTGTTTTCTCTAGAAAATTGCACTTTAGCTGACATAAGTACATTTTGATCTCTCTGGTTTTCTTACTACCAAGGAATGTCCACCTAATGGCAAGTTCTCCCTAGGTTCTGTCTTATCAGTTCACAGCAAACTGAAGTTTGCAGGGGTTTCAATCACTTGAGTGGAAAATACACCCAGTACCTCTTACTCACTTGGTATGTGCTCGGTTGTGTTTTCTGTTGTCTCCACCATTTTATTTTGTCACAGACTTCAGTGTTTACACAATAGTGCTGCTATAATAGTTGCCTTCTAGGAGCAGCATATATAAAATGACATACTAGGCCAATAATTAGACCTAGTTAAAAAGAAAAAAGCAAAATATTCAGAGGATTGCTTGTGTCAAGGTTTTGGGTTTTTTTACTTGGCAAATTTTCATTTTTCTCTCACTTTTTATCTGTCCTCCTTGCAGCATTAGCCACTATGTGCTGGTGATGTCATTGACCATATTCATGATGCTGATGAATGGACTGGCCCAGCTGCTAACCACACAGAGACTTGGACTTCTCAGAAGGACTAAGCACCATTCCACGTGATAAAGCAATAGATGTCGCTGCCTCGTTTCCATCCTCAAGCTTCCTCTGAAACAACCTTCACATCTGGAATGTAAATATAAGTTAACAGACTACAGTACCAAAATCCCATCCAGGGATCAGAGTGCTCTGCTGATACAGATTTACTGCTGTCCCATGATTGAAATTCACATTTGGAGATTGCTGTTTAGACATCAATTGGGCTAAAAAGGCCTCAGCTTTAATCTCCAAGTGTACCTTTTTCATGAAAATAAAAACAGGGACAAAATTGTTTTAGAAAAGAAATGGGCAACCATCTTCTGGGTTTTGTTTTTGTTGTTATAACTTGTCTGACAGCTGTTTGTCTCACTAGGCATCTGCAAAGTCCTAGCTTCATTTTATGTCTCACATAAAGATCTCACAGACTGAAGCAGAAATGAGCTCAGTCCGGGCACATCTGTGTGTAGCCAGTGTAGCATATGCATTTGAATCTCTTTGGAACTGGCTGTTCTCTGGGCGTGCTGTGTCAACCTGCATGTGGGAATGTGCTGAGGCAGGTTCAGACTGGTGTGCTGTGAGGCTGTTGCCGTGAGACAACAGCCTTTAACTAACCTCGGTGTGAAATGCTGCCACTAGGAGCAGTGCTCCCCTGCTGCCTCCTGTGCTTGACAACTCAGGTAACTGATCAAAATTAGAAGGAAACTGATTTAAAGAGCTGTGAAATACCATTCAGATGCCTTGGTCCTGTTCATGATGGGGCAGGCAGGAAGGTTAGAACTGATTGTTTCAGTGGCAGCCCGAGGTTGGATCAGCATAAAGAGGTCATGAAACTGCAGCTGGAGTTGGTGGTTTGCATAGAGTGATACCACGCGGGGGCTTTTTTCCTTATTCCCTTGTTTTCCTTTCCACTTGTGTTCTGTCTTAATTACAAGCCTCAGCCTGGGTAATGGCTGTGCTGTGAATCAAACACAGACAGAAATCCCCTGGCGTGTAGGTGATTATACGTGAAAACAAAAAGCCAGGGTGCTTAGAGGCTCTGCTTCTGTGGGTGCTCTTGGGGAACCAGTAAGTATAAATCCATTGCACGAGGCTTTGAGATAGACCTGTAATTTTGCAGCCCTTCCAACAGCACGCATCAGCTGCCCTACTGCTAGCCCACAGTAGATTAAATAGCACAAACTACAGTACCTACTTACACCTCAATGCTGCATCATTCCCTGAAGTCTTCTGTTGTGAGAATTACACAAAAATTATATTTCCTAAGGCAAAAATTGGCTGTGTCCTGCTCAGCAGGAGGCCTGCACAGAGCTAGTTGTCCTGCCTTGGACAACTTTTTCATCTACACTATCAATAAAGGGGCCTTTGAAGCATCTCCCTTTGCACAGTGAAGGGAGTGAAAGATAAAACTATTATTCTTTCTTCCCCATTGTATAATAGCATCACTAAAAACTGTGCTATGTAATACCCCTGTGTCACACTTCCAACCTGCAGCCAGGCCTTCCTATCTGGGAGCTGATGCATGTGGTACGTGATGCCGGCAGCCGAGGTTCAACACTCATCATGAGGGATGCTCCAGTACTCTTTCCAGCCATCTGGCAGTTGGCCGTCGTCACACATCTGTTTAACACTCTGGAAACTAGTCATCCTTCTGCAGGACATTTGGCTGGCAGAAACCAGTCACAAGCCTCCATGGGCTTTTTGAGTGCTAGAGAAGTACCATGTCATGGGCCGGCAGTCAGTCATCTGTGCAGCTTCGGAGCGCCTCTTGAGAGGCTCTGAGTGCTGAGGAGGGAGTTATTTTTCCACTAGGTAGTTGCCAGTGGTCTTGTTGGGCATGTTGCTAGCACAGCTAGCCTCAGTCACAGAAAGTATTTCACGTTTGTTACGGACCACACCCACAGACTTGCATGCCAGAAGGTGCCCACTGCTGGTATTCGTACCATACAGCCAAGGCAGGGAGCAACCATAACCAGCTGCAAGGTTGCTACTACAGCAAAAACAATGTGTAGGCTAGGGAATCTGCCACATTGGTTCTCCTTGGATCCAGTGAGTCTCTACTATGGAGAGCTATCCACACCTCAGCCCCATTCTACAAGTATCTATGGTGTACTGTAACGTTGTGGGGTATTGTGTCATCAACTTTGTGTCACGTAACTGATGTCTTAAGACCTCTGTCTACAGCGCTGTCATTTCAGTACACACAGCTATAGGCAGCTGTACCACTGAGCATCCCAGACTCCATTGCTGGAGCAATTGCTTGGCGAAATTACTGTTTGTAGAGCAGGTTCACTGATGGGAATTATAGAATCACCATGGTTGGAAAGGACCTCCAGGATCATTAAGTCCAACCTTCCGCCCAGCTTTTCCCTAACCAGTAGACCATAGCCTCAAGTGCTGCATCTGCTCATTTTTTGAACCCCTCCAGGGATGATGACTCCACCACCTCCCTGGGCAGCCCCTTCCAGTGCCTGACCACTCCCTCAGGGAAGAAATTCTTCCTAATATCCAATCGAAACCTCCCCTGATGCAACTTGAGGCCATTTCCTCTCATCCTATCATCATTAATTTGGGAGAAGAGACCAACGTCAGCCTCAGTAAAATATCCCTTTGGGTAGCTGTAGAGAGCAATAAGGTC